ATGAATTAAGGGATATTTAAATATTCAATTACTGTTTTGTTAATTATATATTAAAGATCCTATATATACATTCAATGATCAATGTACTATCACATTTCTCTAACTATTGGTATATGAGTTTTGATAAGCATTATGAGATCTTGATTTATTTATATTTTAGTTTGTTCTGTAGTAGTAAGTATATTAGCCGCCGTGGTTATTATTATATAAAGAATCTAATTTCCCCCTTTTTTCAACAGCTTTTTTTCTCCTTTTCATAATTGAAACATGTTGAAGTTTTATTAGCGACATGTTCTTTGAACTGTCTTGATCTAAACGCCTATCTTCTGCTAGCTGTTTTCTTTTAAAAGCTTCATTAAGCTGTGTTCACACAAAAAACTGGTGTTTTCTTCGTGGTTCTCTTCTTAGATGGTTCTCGTTCTAACAATGAATATTTATCTATATGAGTGACATGATACATGATATAATTTATCATCCATTTATATATGAATTGCCAGTCAGCATTATTCAATCTATTTACAATACGTTTGTGATTTTGAACGTTTATTAGATTAATCATAATGTTTTAACTTATTTTGAATATCATTTGTAGTCATCAAATAATTATTATTGTCTATACGTTATTAACAAGATTGAATAGTTAACTATCACATATATTAAACTACATCAAGACAATTGAAAAGAATAACAAAATATGTATATGAATGTAGTTCACTATAATTTCAAATGAATCAAATACAATAATAACATGACTTATAGAATTATCAACAACATACTATGCTGTGATAAGTTTCACCAGATCATTAGATCCAATGTCGACTTTGATATTATTTCCACAAAAGACACGCAGTAGAATCAAACAACAGGGAATGTGAAAACCTCGTTCAAAAATAATTAAACTCCATTTAATAAAAATCAATTAACACTAGTGATTATATGATCAATTAAGTCACTAGTGGAAAGTAGAAAGCAATTGCACCAGCGCATCTCGAATTTTTTATACTATAATAGTATTACATAATACACCATAACAACCTACAGGAATAGAGCACAATTATTTTAATTTCTAACTCTGAATAATTAAAAGTTCGCATAATTGTCCTTTAAAATTCAAATCCACCACTAAAATAAACATCTTGTACTATGAAATTATTAAAAATTTAAAATAAAAGTATAGACAATCCCGGAATTGACTACCAACATCACGTGTATAAATCACCCTCGTTATTTACCCAATCTAGACTTTTTCGCGAACTTGAAATTTTAGAAAATCAAAAAATCCCAAAAATTGAAATTGCGCGTAAAATCAAAATTGAAATCAACTAAAATTGGAAAAATTAAAGGCAAAACAAATTCGTTTAAATTGATTGTTTATTGTTAATTGATTGTTTAATTTAATTGGTTCATTATCAAATCATCCAATTCTTTCATACTCAATTGTTTCCCAGAAACCCATTAAAATTTCAAAGTCTTTGTTCATTGTGGATCTTTCAAAGTTGAGATTTTAAAAGAGATCAGGAAAAATAACTTTTGGAAAACAACGTACAAATTTCAAATCAAATCAAATTAAAATTAAATTAAACCAAATAAATTTCAATTCAATTAAAAAGAAATCATGAGTGTTGAAATCGGTCCAAGTGTTTTGGAATTCAATCGTGAGTTGATTAGCCGCTGTTTGTTTCTTGTTGTTTGGTGTTTTTTTGTCCATTTTGTTGATGATTTGGCATTTAACTAGGGGCTATATTAAACAACAAACAACAATCAAAAATCATTGGAACTTGTACTAACAATATCTATTTCAGCACCATTTACACAACCAGCTACTCGTTACATCACATTGACAAATCATTCTGATGAAGTTACTGCTTTCAAGGTTAAAACTACCGCTCCAAAATTGTATGTATTTGTGTCTTATTAAGGTTTTTGAATTATATATACTAACCTTTTATATAGATACTGTGTTAGACCAAATGCTGCTATTATAGAACCAGGTAAATCTATAGATGTTTCAATCATATTATTAGGATTAAAAGAAGAACCAACTCCAGATTTTAAATGTAATGATAAATTCTTAATTGTTGCATTACCATCTCCTTATGATCTTGGTGATAAAAGTGTTGCTGATATATGGCCACAATTAGAATCTGAATTTAAACCTCAAAGTATTTCAAAAAAAATTAAAGTTAAATATGTATTTGAAAAAGTTAATGAAGAATCATCACAACAACATCAACAACCATTACAACAACAATCTGATATTCCTTCATCAAATATTGATGAATCATCAAATGTTAGTGCTGGTATTGGTGGTTTAGGTTCAAATGGTAATTCTGCAATTCCAGATCAACAACAAGATTCTGCTAAATCAATTATTAATGAAAAATCTTCAATTCCTCCAAGTTATAATGAATCATCTGAACAAAATAAAATTGATGAATTAAATGAAAAATTAGATTCAAATGTTGCTAAAAGTCAAGCTTCAAAAGAACAAGAACAAAATTCAACAATTACTAAAAATCAATCTGTTGGTAATGCTCCTTTAACTACTGTTATATTAATTGCTTTAATTGCTTTTATTGTTGGTTGGTTATTTTTTTAAAATCAATTAAAAATCATTTATGTATAACAAAAGAATAAGTCATCAATTTGAACAGTGAAGAATAATTAAACATTCAGTAAGTTAGTTTTTTTTTATTCTTCCATTTCTCACTATATTTCATTATTTTACTTCCTTTGAACTCTTTTTTATCATATATATTTTATTATTTTGAATTTTTTCTTGTTTTATATACAGTTTCTGTCTTTTTTATTATTTTCTATGCCTTTGAAGATTGGTTTTAAAGCTATTGATTAGTGTGAAAAGTTTACAAATAAATTTGTATATCTATAATATAATAAATCGCAGTGAATATTTGTAGTCTACTAGTATAACTTTTATAACCCAAAAAACATTAACTAATACAAAGTCATATACAAAGAACAAAGTTTTTCCAAATACTTTTCCATTTGTTATTATAATTGATATACAGAAATAAGAACTTTGTTGATTAAATTTAAGCTTCTAAAGCAAGACGACCTTTTGGATTAGTAACTTTTAAACCTAAAGCTTTAGCTCTAGCCAAGATTTCAACTCTGTTTCTTGATGAAACGGCATGAGAAATTTCAGCAGCATAAGTTTTAGTATGTAATAATAATAAATCTAAATCTTTTAAATTGTTAACTAAGAAAGCTTTATGACCTGATGGCATTAAATGTCTAGTTTTTTTGTTTGAACCATAACCAATGTTTGGTTGAGGAATGGTACCTCTGAAACGACGTCTAACACATGAGTCAATACCTTTTTGCTTTCTCCAGTTTTCAGCAACACGGTTGTAACGATCTGAATGATGACGTTTAAATTTTTTTTGATGCTTTTTAACAATTTTTGGGTGAGGTAATGAAGCAGCCATCTATAATTTTGTTAGTATTTATATTCCTAGGTTATGAAAAAGATTAATGATATTGGTGAATTGATAATTATATTTTGGTATTGTTTCTTCTTGTCTTGTGTGTACTACGATGAATATATTATTCTTGATTGAATCCGACTTTTTTGTTTACTCTATTTCATTCTTGTATTCTTTTGATCTCTTGTATCCATTATACTTCCATTCCATTCTTTACAATATTGGTTCATTACTTTACTCTTCTGTTAATCATAATCTTCTTTTCATTGTAAATTTCTTTAATTCAAATACATTCAATATCCATATGAACTTCTCAAAACATATTCAATATAACTCTTGGTTGTCTTGTACTCTCTATTCTCCTTGATACATATAATACACTCTCCAATATCATTATCCTCCCATGATTATAACGTACTTTGTCTAATTCACTATGTTGGTTACTATCTCTTTCAAAAGTATTAACAACAAATTCGTTAATAGCTTTGTAAAAATTTCATACCTTTTTTTCAAAAATTCGTTCAGTGACACACAGCACAAAAAAAAAAGCACACACAGACTTTCGCGAATTCTCACCAATTGCTGGTTTTGACGCTTGAGTGAGGTTTCGCGAATTGTTATAAGGAAAAGAAGGTGTTGAGGTGTTGTGTTGATCAATATTCCATTTTAACATCTGAACACCAGAAAAACAAGGGTCACAAAAGTCATGTGATGTTAGGGCATCAAAACATGTGATATATTGTTGGAGTATTAGGGCTCAATTCAAGTGGCTGGTTTGGAAATTATGCGCGAATTTTTGTTGTTGTTTACTGAAATTAGAAATATTAAACGTGAATACATAAGAATTGTATGGCAATTTGAATCTAATCAACATCATCAACATCAATAAAGACAATAAGAATACCTTTTTTATTACCATGTCTGATGTCAACACTAGCAATCCTTATTATTACTACATAGATCCAACAGTTCATTATACAAAATCAAGACCTCATCCAAATGATAATCTTATAGATTTATATAATTTATCAAATATAGCAAATTCAGTGGCAAGAGTTAATGAAACTGGTTCAAAAGGTGTTAAATTAAGAAAATCTTATAAAGCTCATATTAATGATTTACCAGGGAAACATAATAATATTCCAAAAGATCGTACTATATCTCCAATTGTTTATGCTCCAGAAAGAGAAGGTGCTCCAATAAATATAAATAAATTTGATAATCAAATATTGAAAAATTATTTAAATTTTCAAAAAACTAATGATGATGGGATTCATGGTTTTGATCCTGCTAATTTAGCTATGGGTGAATTTAGTAGTCAAGGTACTAAAAGAAAACAAAAAAAATCAAATGATGAAGATTTAAAAAGAAGAAGAGTTGATTATTAAAAATGTGTTATTATATCAATTCGTATTGGATTTGAAGTGGTTTTATGATTTATGAATTTATGAATTTGGGTTATTTATATATATATATATATTAAAAGAAATTAAAAAAAGGGTTTTAGATATTAAATTTTGCGGTGGCAAAGATTCAATATTATGTATTAATTATATTGTATTATAACAATTATTTGTAGCGCTACATATCATACAAATGATTAAATAAAACTCTATAAATAAACTTTTATTACACACACATATATTATATTAACTGTTCCTTTTCCTTTATTTGATCTAAATCAATTTGATCTAAATGAGCTTATTCTTGATGATGCATAATCACCAATATCTCTTAATCCATCAACTCGTTTCCTTTTATGTTGAACTAATTTATTACCAATTATTGATCCACTATGACTTAATAATGCCTTAATAACCAATTTTTTAATTGCCATTGTTAAATCTAATAATGTCCATGTTTTATTTGTAAATATAATTTCTGGTAATGTAAATGCAAAATCTGATACATTAATTAATCTTTTAGCTCCATGACCTCTATATGTAATGCTAACCAAACAACTCTTGAATCTAAATGAAACAATACTTAAATAATTTGAAGCTCTTCTAACCATTTCTTCTAATTCATCATCATCTTCATCATTTTCTTCAAATACATCATTAAGTGGAGCTGTAGTAGAAGTATGATTATTTTGATGTGATAAAGCAGATGGATCAAAAATTGAAGATCCATGTTGACTACTTTGACTATTATGGAAACTTTCTTCATCTCTTGATCTAAAACTGAAAAATGATCTTCTTGGTGAAACTTGTTGTTGTTCTTGTTTTGGTACATTATAATCTGATCTAAATGTTGATGATGCATCAACTGCAATTGATGGGAGATTGTTTGGATTATTATTATTACCATTTGTTTTATTCCCATTTGATACACCCAAATTTTCTCTATTTACATCAATTTCATCAACTAAATCATCTCCATCAATCATTGATTCATCTTTCTTACCATTCACATTTGTATTATTGTTACCATTAACATTATCATGAACATTTTCATGATCAGGATTATCAACTGTATTTCTTAATAACAATGGACTTTCATCAGGGAATGCATACTTCATAACTTTATCACCTAATCTTTGATCAATATTCAATTCTAATGGTTCTAATTCAACTTCAAATCTTCTAATAACTCTAATACCACCAACTGGATTATCCATTCTCCAAGAAACTTGAATCATAGGTTTAGACTTCTCTTTAGATTTTGAATTTTTACCCTTTGGATGTTGTTTATATGATTTTTTATGAATATCATATGGGGCAAATAGAATAGGTAATTCTGCACGATCTTCTAAATTCAGTAATTCGACACGTTCAATTGAAACAAAATTACTATCTGAACGATCTGAACCTTCAACTCTTTTAAAATGTGAGTTTGTTAAAATTGCATCCAAGAATGGTAATCTATCTTCATCAAGCATATGTAATTTAATATCATCTGCTCTAATATTCCATTCAAGATAATCATCAGATGTCTTAGATTGACGACCACCCATTAAAGCAACACGCATCAATAAATAAACTTCTATAACAGCATCAGCTTTTTGATTTGTAACAACAAGTAAATCATTTCTTTCAACATCATCCAATATTGTTCTTCTACCATTCAAATTATTTTGAATCATAGTCATTTGTCTAATTGAATCTTGTAAGCTAACAATACGATCCTTTAAGTTTGAAATGTCATTAACATCTAATCTTAACAACATTTTAGCTTCACGTTCCTTTAATTTTTGATTTCTTGGTTCATTATAAATTAACAAATTCATAATCATATTATATAATGAATAATATTGTCTTGCATCACATCTGAAAATAGCTTCAGATAAATCACAACTTAATTTATTGATACTATTATCCCTCTCATTTGCAAAAAACGAATCATCTGGTTTATCATATCTAACAATAATTGAATTTTTCTCAATCAACATATTATTTTTCAATGCTGATCCATCATAACATAATTCAACACCTAACCAAGGTGGCCATGCCTTTTCAGATCCATAAGTTGAATTACTAAAGAATAAATTATCTCTAATCGTTTTGTCATCAGCATAAAACACAAATGCACTTGCATCAGTAAGGATAGCACCAAATCTTTTCTCAATTATATTTTCATGATATTCATTATCAGTTTCATTAACATCAAATGCCAAAACTTTCAATTCAATATTTGGAGATACGACTAAAACAGCTGAATTTTTATTACTTTCACTTTGTAATTGAATTTGTGGAGTAATAAACTTGAGTAAGAAATTTTCTTGAACAATGCATGATAGATCAAATGATAAATTATACAATTCATCTTCAAAATTTTTCAATTTTTCTGAAGCACGAGTTTCTGCAATACTTTTGCTATATCCATGTCCATGATCATTGTCAACACCATTTTGAGATTCATACGTGGCTTGTGTCACATGCGTACCGGATCTTGATACCCCTGTGCCATTTGCACGACGCTCTTGTGTTTCAATAATATCATCAATTTGACCCATTGATCTATGTTGCATATATCTTGATATTTCTTGTCTTAATTCAAACAAGTAGACATACTTATAAACAACATCCCTATTACTATCATTCCATTTCAACAACATATTGTGTATAATAAATTTGTTTTTGAAAGGAGATTTATCAAAATCATCATTAACAAAGAAATCAAAAGATGAGTTCTCAACTATATCATCAGGAGATCTCGACTGATATGCTAATGCAATATCTTGAACAAATTTTAATCCATGTTCTAACCTTTTGATTTCGATACGCATTTGATCAATTTGGCGTCTAATTTCTGGAGTATGTGATGATACATTGTTCAACTTCTCAATATCCTGTACTTTTTCATTTCTCTTAGATCTTAGCTGTTCAAGTCTTTCAGCTAGAGATTCTTGTTGAACTATAGCCGAGTTATTTTCATGAACTAGACATTCATGGAAGCTTTCATCCCCAAAAGGTCTTGTTCTTTTACCAGTATCAAAATTTATTTGATATTTATCCCCGTGATCATTTTTCTTGTAATACATAAAACTTGGTGTATACATTAGAGGATGTATCATAACTTTACTCTTGAACCCATCCAAAGTTGCAGTACCAATCTCTGTAAAATCATGAATATCAAACCAAGACTTGTCACCATCCATAACCTCAACCTCATGGTTATCTTCCATTTTGTAACCAGAAGCTCTTCTTTTAGCCATAGTCAAATCTTTATTCAACTCGAATTTACCATGTATAGTTCTCAAATCCAAATCTGACATACTAATACTACCACTATTGAACCCCATTTTCATAATTTTTTTGGTGACACCTAATTGTTGGTTATGTTCATATGATAATTCTTTACGCTGATGTAGATCTAGAGTAAATTGAGATGCACGAGCTTTCATACCAACTGATGCAAATTTATCTTGGTCTTGAGAATCAGATTCATGATCATGATATACATGTGAAATGAATAATGGATTTGCAATAGCTTTATACTTAATAGTGAACAAATGACGAGCAAACTTCTTGGTAGGTTTCTCTGGACCAAATAATTTACCATGACGTACAGGGAATGTATTTGAAAACATACGCCAGAACGCAAAGAAATGTTGGAAAGTAGCTGGGGTTAACTGAATAGTGTTGTATGCAATATCACTTTCTGATATCAAAGTAATACCCATATGAATGAAATGACTTCTGAAATGATGATAAGCATCATAAGCATCTCTATCTTCAACATATTTAGGGTTCACCAACGTGATTTCATCATGTGAAATAAAATTACTGGTTCTATCATTACCATCATCAGTCTTTCTTTCAAAAGCAAGTGCTAGATTGAATTTAACACCACCAGATAATCTTATTGCAACTTTTTCCAAATAATGCTCAGTCATTATTTCAACTTCTGCTTCATCTGGGATTTCATCATTGCCAAAATAGAAACCATAAGTAGAGCTTTGATAGTTGGTGTTCTGGTTAGCAAGGAAAACAGATTTCTCAGTTTCTCTTGACCAAACTAACAAAGGTTCTGCAATATGATTAGGGACAGCAAAGATCAACTCTTGAGCAGTAGTAGCTAAGAACTCTCGAGGATCATCTTTCTCATTAATATTGACAACAACATCATCTTTGAAACCAAGAATGAAACCAGCAGCTTTACCACATATATCATAAGGGTTCTTTGTACCTTTGAACAACACATCAAATCTACCACCTCTATTCCAATTCAATTTCATTCTTGCATGGAAATTAGCTCTTATCTTATCCCAAAATCCAACTTTATCAGAAGGATCAATAGGTGGTTTTGTGAAATTATCAAGATTCAACATGATTTGTTGAATACATGGTTGATATGATGTACCCCATGTAACTTTTGTGGTATCTGATGAGTTCAAATCTAAATCCAGCATTGTATAAAATTTGATAGATGTCAGAGTTTTTGGAATCTCAATAGAATAACGATCATCTTTATCAAATTCATTACAACCTGGAACCAATGGAACAAAAACTTCTCTGACTTCTTTATGTGACTTGATGGTATTTTCACCAATAACAATATCACCATGTATCTGTACAGCTGGTAATGTACCAGATTCTGGACCTTTAACTTTAGGCATGTAAATGAATGGCAAAGGATAATCTCTCAAATGACATCTTAACTCATCTAATCTCAAATCCATATGAATAGGTATCAAAGTTGAGTATTCACTATCTTTAGGTTTACCTTTACCAACATCATGTAAGAAATCAGGTATTTTTTCATATCCATAAGATGGTGGACCAATTTTTAAATCAACACCTTCTAAAATCAAGCTAAATAATGATGGAGCGGTAACAAAATCTAACACTTTTCTATTGAAATCCTCAGATAAACGAGATAAATCTAAATTTCCCCATAAAAATTTGAAATTTTGTTGAAATTCTCGTTCTTGATTCTTTTTAAAAGCTCGAATTCTAGCAATCCATGATTTTGAGAAACCTTCACGAAGTTTGTACAGTTTCTCTAAAGCTTTCTCCTTAGCATCAAACATTTTATGGAAATTTAGTGATTGTTGTTGTTGTTGTTGGTTATTACTATCATTTTCAGAACCATTTTGTTTTCCATTTGAGAAAATTGCATCCATAGAAGCTGCATGATGAATAGATGAAAAAGTTGGCGGTTTAAACTTTTGAAATTTCTTTCTTTTTGAAAGTGTTGGCAAATCACTATGAACATCATTTGAAATAAAATTGACAGGGAATGTATTAGATTTTGTTGATCTTTGTCTATTATTTTGTATTTCTTCTCTCAGCCTAGCATCGAAAAGTTTGGTTTTTTCATAACGCATCTTTTGTTCTGATAAACCAACTTGGAATATCATATTCAATTCAGCTTCAAATGGATCATCATCCATACTGAAAAATAATCTTGATGATTTAAGCCTAGTTCTTGGTATCTTTTCAGCTGGTTTTGCATGAGGATTTATGATAATTTCATCTGTATTATTTTTCAATGAATAATGTAATTGTTTCAAAGTCTTTATAGAAACTGAAATATTATCAAAAACTTTATAAATAATAAATTGATGAGGAATAATTAAATGACAACTTTCATTAGATAAATCAAACCAGACTTTTTCTATATCCTTATTAAGTATATCTTCAATATTTACAGTTGTTGATCCATTCACTGCAGTCAAAATTCTAGCCCAATAACCAGCAGTAGTTGGTGATTCAGCACATATACGAAGGTAATGTGAATTTATTAATATTGGCTTATTGGATAATGAAAGGGCATTCAGCTTATTGAATTCTAATCTCAACTTCAATCTATCTGGGAAAACAAATATGAGTTCTAAATAATCAATATTGAATGTGAATTGTATTTTATCCAAAATATCTTTTGCTGATTTTTTCTTCTTTGGTGGTCCACATGATGGAATAGCTTCAACTTCTGGATTCTTTTTATATTGGAAAAATTCAAGAACGGTATTTCTTAAAAGATGGAAACTTGAAATGATTATAAAATGTGTGATTACAGAATAAAACATATCAACTTTACCGAGACTGAAATCAATCATTAAAACACTATTATTATCAGGATTTGGATTCACAGTTAAAACTGAAGATGGAATTTTCATGAATGATTTTTCAACCAATTTATTATTTTTATGTGAGCTTTCTGAATGAATTTTCCCCACGATATGTGAAGATTCAATTTTCAAGTTCCAACTATCTTTAAGTGATTCATTTTCAGCTAATGAATCTAATAAACCTTTGTCATCATCTTCTAATGAAGATGGAGAAGATGTTGAGCTATCATAATCTGTTTTAGCAGCTTGAGATATAAACCCAATTGTCCATTTCTCAATAGAAAATCCAACTTTTCTTAAATCACCATTAATTAAATCATTTTCACTTAAAGGATCAATATTTTTCACAAGCTCTTTGGGTATTAATAACGATCTTGAACCTAAGAGCACTTCAGTATTATTGGATATGAAAACAACATGTGAAAGCCAAGGTGGTATAATATCATCAAATGATTCTTCTCCTATATAATCATTAGATTTAGAGGTTTTTGGTTGAGAAACAGGAGGTTTAGATTCAGGTAAACAATAACCACCAGTATCAAGTTTGAATTGATCAACAAGTGGTCTGATTTTCCAATACAAGTCACTCATTAATGAGTTTATACCATGTAAAACATTGATATCTGATGCATCTAATATGGTGGAATTTGATATTAGTGAAGTTGTTACCAAAAGTTGAGGTAATATGTTAATTGTTTGTTTTAAATCAATACCTTCTAGTTTTAAAACTTCAACATCAATTTTTTCATGAGTATTTCTAAATTTTATTTTAGCATTTGAAAGATTTATAATTTGTGAAGCTGAGAAATTTATATTATCATCTTGATCAACAGTTTTTTCAGTTCTAAATTGAACAGAAACTAAAGCAAATCTTAACACCAATATTCTATAAAATTGATCAAGAATTGGATTTTTCACTAGGATAATTGGATTTTCTATACTTAATTTCACATCAAATTTTGGCCATAATTTTGGGAAAGCACCAAACCAAAACATTGAACGAACTTTTGAATTAGAAGTTTCAGAAGAAGTTGGTACACCTTGTTTAAATAAAAATTCTTTCTTTACTTTCAAAAAATCTAAAGCAGCTAGTACTATATTTGCCACATCATCAGAAGATAAATCCAATATTAAATCTGATAAATGTCCAGTTATTAATAATTTCCCATCTGAATGTGTATTATTTTTGGAAGCTTCTAAAGTTTGGAAATAAACATTTGAAGAACCAGTAAAGTTCATAACTGGTACCGTGAGGATTGGTTTATATTCATCTTGTTTTGGGGATTGCATTGCAAAGCAAATTTCTGTAAAATTATAAATCAAATGAAATGGTTTATCTTCATAAGTATATGTTAATCCATAACCTGGAGAATCAAAATACATTCTTTGACAAGTTAAGGCAAATGCATTAATTTTTAATTCAAACTTCACCAAAGGTTCATAATTTGATGATTGAATTTGTTCCATATCACCTAATGGAATTTCATTAATTGACATATTTTGAAAAGCAACATCAATTTTCTCAATAAGTTTAATGAAATAACAAAAAATATAAAGTTTTTTATTCATTTTAGCTAGGGAATAAGAACAGAATTCATCACTTTCAGGTTCCCATTGTTGTTTCTTGTGCTTTGTCTTTTTAGGTAAAGTTTTAATTATCGATAATATTGGAATTGATAAATTTCTCATTTCAACATCTAAATTTATTTTGGAAAGTTCACCAGTTTTAAAATCTAGAGCACCATTACAACCTATTGTGAAAGCATCAAATATCTCAATACCATTAATTGATTGATGGAAAAGTCTTAGTGTTGCACCAAAATTTCTCTTTTTTTTAGAACGATTAACTTTAATCTCTGTAAAAATATGATCAATATTTGTTATCAAGCCTAATTTTTCAAAATTTATTGATAAATTTGAAAATTTGAACCCAACAAATCTAAAATATAATAAATAAAGTTCAATTAAACTTTTAATTATAAAATTTTGAGGGAAAATATGTAATGGTGTATTTGGATCCAATTCACCAGGATCTTGATTTAAAAAACTCTTATATTCATCTTGTCGACTATAATCATCCTCATCTTTATCAACATTTTTAATTTTCAAATCCACATCATTTAAAACTATTGAAAATTTAACATTATCCATTAATGAAAAATTAAATCTAATTGAACCTATTTTAACATTAATTTTCTTAAAATTTAACGTTATATTTGATATTTTCAATAAAAAGGGATTGATCAGACCTACTGATAATCCAAACACAGTACATAGTATGAACCTTATGAATAAACCTGAACATGAAAAGAGTATTAATCCTTGTATTATTCTTGATGTCCTTACGAGTTCCACAATCCCTCCGGGGGATCCCCATTCAAGTACTCCCATGGTGTGTTTTATCCTTTGTACAATGTGACAATTGATATATTTTCAACAATTGAAATGAATATTTATAATTTTGTCAATGAGCATAAATATTGTATAATTGAACCAAACCGGCTTTTATATTAGCAATTCAAACAGCACACGAACAGCGCTTTTCAGCCCAAGCAATAACAACAGCGGTCAGCAGAACACAACACAGCAGCACAAGAACAATCAGCAACAGAAACCCACTGAAATCAATGCCTTTTGGAACCCTTAAAATGACGAGTTTCCCACTAAAACAAAATTTAAATTGCATTTCTTTGTTTTGAAAAGGAAATTCCGGAGAATCGCTGACTAACAAATCACATAACATTTCCGCGAATTTTATTAAAGATCCAACGAACCAAAATAAAATTTTCATTAAAGGCCATTAACAAACACATAGTGATAATTAATTTAACTAGTACAACAACTTTTTTTGTTTTCACTTCAGAATAGATTTACTTTATTAGTGATCCGATTTTGATTGTGACCTTTTAGATCCAGACAACGCTACAAAGGAATAGGAAACAGGAAAGAACACTAGCCATCATGCGTGAGTATTATCCGATATGAGATGATTACTATGGGTGGAATATTAGGGGAAATTAAATCAATAACGGAATGTGTCAATGTTGTAAAGATTGTCCATATATCCATGAGTACACCTTGTTGATTGAATTAGTGGTATTTGTGGAGTGAAACAAGATCTTTCCCTTTATCCATGTGTCAAAAAATATATAAAATCACAGAAAGACTAACAATGTTTTCAAATAGCACCAAAGAAAGGGAAGAAAATGGACTTAGCGTCCTTCTTAAACGATGAATCCACAGGAGGTGGTTCATGGGCTGATGAAGAAGTTGATTTTGCATCAATTTCAATCCCAGTTCAACAACAAGCCCCAAGTTTTGGTTCATCAAATATTCCAGGTCCAAATTTTAATGATCCAGCATTTGGAGGTTCTGAAAGAAGAGAACGTGTTGAATATCCAGTCCCAGATTTCCCACCATATCGTGCTAGATTAAATAACTTACCATGGGATGCTTCTGAACCAATCATTACTGAATGGGTTGAAAGTGTTGTTGGTTCAAATACTACATCAAATTTATATGTTCCAAAAGATTTTAATGATTCAACAAGATTAAAAGGTCATGCGTTCATTACTTTTAATGAAAAGGAACAATTAGTTCAAGCTTTAACTTTAAGTGGTACTGAAATGAATGGTCGTCGTGTTTTCGTTAATGTTGCAGCACCAGAAAAAGAAGGTAGAAGAGGTGCTGGAGGATTTGGAGGTGATGCTGATTTAGATTGGGGTTCAGCAAGAGGTAGTGGATTTTCATCAAGAGGTGGTGATGATTTTGGTGGTAGAGGTTCAAGAGGTCCACCACGTGAAGAACCAGATTTAGATTGGGGGTCTGCCAGAGGTTCAGGTCCAAGAGGTGGTGATCGTGGTGATCGTGGTGAACGTAAACCACGTAGAGAAGAACCAAATTTAGATTGGGGTGCAGCAAGAACTGGACCAAGATCTGAACCAACTGGATTTGAACCAAGAGAACCAAGAGGTGATCGTGAACCAAGAGAAAGAAAACCTGTTAAAGAAGAACCAAATTTAGATTGGAGTTCAGCAAGAGGTACAGGAGTTCCATCAAGAGGCTCAGGAGATTTTAAAAAAGAAAGATCAGATTCATCAGAATTTAAAGAAAGAAAACCACGTCGTGAAGAACCAGAATTAGATTGGGGTTCAGCAAGAGGTAGTGGATTTACATCAAGATCATCAACTCAAAAACAACATAATAATAATAGATCATTTAATAAACCAAAAACCGCGGCTGATGAAGCTAATGTTTGGACTCGTGGTCAACAACCAAGTGGTGGAGCTCAAAGATCTAATAAATCAACAAGTCAAAAAGATGAAGAAAAAGATAATAATAAACCAAATGTTGTTAAATCTTCATTTTCAGTTTTAGCAGGTGAAGATGATGATGAAGAAGATGAAGAAGAAGAAGAAGTTAAAGAAGAAACTAAAAAGGAAGAAGTTTCAGGATCTAAGGAAACTGGATTAGAAGAAGCTACTTCAAAATTAAATGTTGATGAATCATCAATTGCATGGGAAACTGTTGGTGGTAAAAAGAAATAAGTAATTTAAAAATTTAAAAATTTAATAATATCGTGTAATTTGTTAGATTAGTTTTTTATGTTGAATTTGTATAAGGTGTAAAATAGAATTATATCAAACTAATATAATAATCGTAGGTACAAGTTTTGTTAAGGAAAGAACATAAAACATTTCACATTATAAACAAAAATTATATATAAGGGAGTGAATAAAAACATTAATCAAATTAAAAGTAAAATTAAAGGTAAAATTAAGTCAAAAATTAAAAGTTAAAAAGAACACAATAAAAACAAGAAACGAATATAAACAAAATGAATACAAAAAAACATACACATGAAATCATAAAATCATGAAGATATCACATAAATCAAACCATTCTTTCAACTCTTTCTCTATTATCTGAATTTTGTTGATTCTGTTGTTGATTTTGATTTTCACCTTCATCAACTTCAGTTGTATTAGTTGTAGGTTGTTGATCATTATCATAATTAGGATCTTCATCTCTTAATCGTTGATCTTCATTAACAATAGCACTATTAATTAAATCATTTCTTGAAATCCCCATAATAATCCAAAAAATTCTCCATTTAAATTTTAAATAACGTTGAATTTTATCTTTGGCAATTTGTTCTAGGTTTGGATGTCTTGATAAAATTTCTTGAACTCGTTCATTTAATGTTGTATATTGTAATTCTGTAAATTGATTGATTGAATCCAAGTCTTCATTATTTGCACCACCTGCGATTCCACCAACATCTGTAACACGATCATCATTAGTTTCACCATTTTCATCACCATCTTGATTTTCATTTTTTAAATAATAATCACGTTTACACATTGGACAACATGCTTTTCTTTTAGTTAACCATGGATCTAAACATTCTTGATGGAAAACATGACCACAAATTAATCCACGGACTAAATCTTCTGGTTCGAAAATATCAATACAAATTGCACATGTACCAGAATCATAATGTGGTTCATATGGTGTACCTAAATCGATTTGATCTTGATCTGAATGTTTTGATTGTTGTGGTTCAAGTTGTTGTTGTGGTTGATCTTGGATAGCATCATGATATGTAGATTCAACATCTGATTGTTGAGTAGTTATATTATTCTTCTGTTGAGTTTCAGTTTCAGTTTGGGATTGGGTCTGGGTATTATTAATATCATCTTGACTACCATTATCATTATTACTTTCATTAACTTCATCATCATCTTCTTGTTTCAACTCTTTATGAATATCACGTTGATCCGCATCTCTTTCAGCACCACCATCTAACCAATTTTGATAAGTCCTTACAGGGAATAAATGATCAACTTCTTCATCAGTTAATCTTCTTTTTTTCAAATAACGTCTTCTTCTTCTATTTCTTCTTAATTGATTTGGTAAATCTTGGGAATAAGCATTAAAAGTATGCATGGGGAAATCACCTGTGAGTAATACTATCCCTCCATTATTTGAAGTTGTTGTTAATCTTGCTGTTGCATAAATACCTAATCTTGTTCGAACATAATATCTCATTGAAAAAAAAATAAAGACAAAAGCTATAACAACCCCTATTGCCACAGCTATAAAGAATAATATAGATGATGGTTGTGATGAAGTAGAACCACCTCCACCTTGTTGTGACATGATTATACCAGAGTTCTATAGATTTATAATAAGTAGTTGTGCTTTTGGTGGTTTTATTGAATCCCTTTTCTTTCACCCACACAAATTTAATTTTTAAACAATCGTAAAACAAATGAGATTCCGGGTGATCAAAGTCGGATTATATTATCTATTATGAATTGTTCTAGACTCAACAAACTATGAAGTTGATTAACTATTAACTATTACTTGAATGGGTGATTGTTTGTTGGTTGTGTTGATAGTACTTGTATTGTTTGATGATCAGTGTATCAAGAAATCCAGGTTGTTATATCTTGTGGTGATCATGGCAATCAAGGCTTAGAACTTCTAAGCTTAGAACTACGCTAAGATAATATAAGATAATTTATAAGCGTATTAATATTATAGTATGTCGATGCTATACGTCCTTATAAGGGGCTGTAGTGTATATATTATTCAACAGATACATATAACATATACTTCAACTGATATAATAATCGATATATTGAATTCATTGTCTCTGGGTATAATTGATAACCAGCTCCATGATAACTATGCACAATAAATTACTTTGAACCACCTTCCAATTATCTTTTAATTAATCAACTCATAACAATCAACCATAATAAAGTCACTCTCATATACATCTTCAATGTTCATATCCTTTAAATCCGTTTTGTGATGATTTATTTAGTTCAATTAATTTACGAGTATTCCAAAACTATTCGGATATAAATTTAGTGTGATTTACTAAAACATCAACAATATAACGTCTTACAATTACAACAGGTACTAATACTATACAAACCAAGGAATAGATAACTATAATCCAGTGATCTTCCATATAACTAAATATCAAACATCACAACAACAAATCAACAAAAACACCATCCAAACCAAGTCATAGTCCAATAAACCATAATCGCCACCAACCAAATATGACCCATCAAATAAAACTAAACATCTATGACCTTTCTCAAGGTCTAGCATCCCAATTCTCTCCCATGATCCTAGGATTCCACATAAAAGCTATATATCATACTTCAATAACTATATTCAATCAAGAATGGTATTTTAATTCTCAAGGAATCCAACGTTCAATCCCATATCAAACACATTTTGGTAAACCTATAGAAATTAGAGATATGGGAACAACAGAGATCCCCTTGGAAATATTTGAAGAATTTATCCAAGATTTACCAAGATTCCAAAGTGGGAAATATGAATTATGGGAAAATAATTGTAATGATTTTACTAAAACTGTTATGGAATTCTTGAATGATTTTAATGATTTTGATGATGAAATTTATGGACTAAGTAGAAGGGTATTAAATTCTGAAAAGGGGGAGATGTTAAGACAATTAATGACGGGGATGATTGTTGATTAAGCTAAAAATCTACAGGGTGTTATATACTTAGAATTGAAATTTTATTAGCTATGAATAATTGAATAATTTAATATGGCTTTTTTTTTGGATATGAAATACAGTACAAATATATATAATATGGGTAATTAAGTAATAAAAAAAAAACATAGAAGGTAAATGATCAAATTTTAGAATTTTTATATTAATTATATTGATCTGTGTAAAGAAGGGGAAAATTTAAAGGAATATTATTTATATGGTTTGTAGTTTTTATTCATCTTTGATTTCTTGATCATTTTCTAATTTTGATTCACCATTTGTATCTTTTTGAGAATCACCATTTGTTTTGACATCTGTTGATTCTTTGACTTCGTCTTTAACTTCTGATTCATCTTTAGTTTCATCTTTTACTTCATCTTTAACTTCTTGTCCATCTTTTTGTTCATCTTTAACTTCTGATTTTTCATTTTGTTGTTCATCCTTAACTTCTGATTGTTCAGGTTTTTCATGGGTTTCATCTTTTTGTTCATCTTTAACTTCTGATTTATTATCTTTAGCCTCTGGTTTATCATCTTTAACTTCAGCTTTTTCATCATTCTCACCATTCTCACCATTTTCACCATTTTCACCATTCTTTACATCATGATCTTTAATATCTTCACTTTGGTGTTCCAATACATACTTTTGTTCTAATACATCTTTTTGTTCATTTTTTTGTTCATCTTTTTCATGATGTTCTAAAATTGAAGAATTTGGAGTATCATCCCTTTTAGATAAATCATTTTTTGGATGTTTCCCCCATTTAATCTCTTGAATAAAAGGATCCCAATCTATTAATAAATCTTCACATCTTTTATGAAATTTAAAATCATCTTCACGTTTCAAATTATCAATTCTTATAATTGCCTTAAGGACTTTATGTAATCTTGAGATTTTTAAAATTTCTGTATTTATATGATTTTTGGAATGGAATGATTCTAATTCATTGAAATCTTTATCACTTTTGATTAATTCATCTTCTGATGGGTCCTGAGTTCTTTGTACTAAACCTCTTTGTAGTTTAGATCTAAGTCCAGTAGCAATTTCTTTTATTTCATTAAAAGTTAATGGTGGTGGTGACGAAGGTGTTTGTATATTAGTTTTTCTTTTCTTTTTTTGAATTGAATTTGAAACATCATCATCTTCATTGTCTTGAATTGATGATTTTCTTTGTTTTGATGGTTTTGGAGTTGAATTTGTTGATGATGATGGAATTGTGCTAGAATTTGTTATTGTATTTTTCTTACGACCTCCTTTTTTAGCAGGTTTTTCTTTAGCAATAGTCCAATCATCATAATGAATATATTCTTCATCTTCTTTTAAGATATCCCAATCTCTTAAGAATTCTTCAAAATTACCATTATATTGTTTTGCTTCTTCATAAGCTTCTTTTAAACCTTCATCATCATTTTTCTTCTTTTTAGAACCTTTTGAAGGTGATTCAAATTCTTTAAATTTCTCCTGGGTTAAAGGTTGAATTGAATTAACACCATTCCAAAAAAAATCATTATCTTTAATATATTTAACACAAATTTTATCCTTTTTTTTGGATTTTAATACAGCTGGTGGAACATAAGCCAATGGTAAGACAACAGCAGGCCATGGTTCATAAGGTGTACAAGTTGAAAGGACCAAGTCACCAGGTTTGTATTCATGAAGAGGTTTAGGTTCAGGGTCAGACATTGTGTTGTTGTTGTTGTTGTGATTGTTGTGGTCTTTGTGTTGAGGGTTGTGATATTAATTGGAACGCGTCTTTTGATAGTTGGAAGGCGTTGTTTGGTTGCTTGTAGTTGTAATTGAGTAGAGATACCAGTGTTGATGGTGATAGATTGATAGTTGAGATACTATTTGATTGTTGATTGTTGGTTGTTCCTTGTAGATTGTTGTATTTGTTGTTCTTGTTTTGTTTTTGTTGATGTTTTTTTCAAGTGGACGATTCAACTTTTGAAATGTCGTGAAGTTTTACAAGCAAAAGAAGAGATAGACAATGGGAACAAAGGGAATACATACAAAGGGAACACATTACTATCAAACAACCACATTGTAGACTCCAATTAGCACTAACTACACCACTCTCTTATACTATTTATTCTACTCCGTATAATCAGTACCTTGTTTAATATCCCATTCTCGCAGTTCCACTGTTTTATTCCATGTAATCAAAATTTGCGACTCGCATCAAGGTTAAAAAATCAACATTTTATACATTTACTACTACACTTCAACAATCAACTTCAACCAACCACTACAACCAACTACTACAACTATATAATAACTATCCAATACCACCACCATGCCACCGAAAAAATCAAAACGCTCTTCAAATGATATGCATTCTCAAACTTATTACTTATCAAATACTCCCCTATACAATTATTACCCACCACCAGATCAACACAAATATATCCCAAATTATAATCAATCCATATCAAACCAAGCACCACTAATGACTGCTCATGAAGAAGCTGAAAAGGGTGCTTTCTTATTACAATCCTTGAAAGGAACACAACAAGAAAACCAATTACCACCAGGTCAAAATCAAACAACTAATAATAATCATTTCCCATTGAAGAAAAAATTAAATAATCAAAATCAAAAGGTTTTTATACATAGAATTGGTAGAGATTCATTAAAATTAAATCATATTGAAAGTAATCAAAGAAATAATCAATCAGATGATAAAAATCATCAAAAAAGAGAAATTTATGATTTCCCTGTTAAACCTAAACCCCCAACAGATGTAAATGAATTAAATAATCAAATTTATCAATATGATGAAAGCAAACCAAATACAAAATTTTCAAACGCTGATATTATATTTGCAAATGGTAATAATAGAGAAAAAAGAAGAATTGAATTATTTGAAAATTATAGTGAATTATATAAATTTAAAGAATTTAAAAGAAAATCATTATTTGAAGAACAATCTCAACTTTTACAGAAAAATATTGATTATTTAAATAAACCAAATAATTTTAATACTGAAATAAGTGATTTACCTTCCCAGGGTAAGAAAACTCCATTAATTATAAGAAATTTATTTGAAAAAGAAACTGATATTATTGAAACTAGGGATTATGAATTAACAAGATTAAGATATTGGAGACGTTACAAGAGAAATGAAAATATTAAAAATTATTATAAACAATCATTATCTTTACACCAGGGTTATACGGATGATGTTATTGATAAATTAGAAAAATTGAAAAATTTCTTATTAAAACAGAAAACAATGTTGAAAAATTTAGATAAAGATTTATTAGATATTAATTCTAATAGATCTGAGAAATTTTATTCAGGTTTTAAATCAAATGAATCGGGGACAGGTTCAATAGATATAAATTCTGATCATGATCAAAATCAAAATGGGAACGGGAATGGTTCAAATCATGGTATTAATGGAATTCAAAATTCTTCAAGATCAACACCAGAACAAGAATCATTATCAAACATAGAAAGTTCAGAAACTGATACCCAAAGTTTATTATCAACCAACACCAACACCAAACCCAAAAAACCATCACAATCACGTAAAAAAATAACAAAACCTAATAAAAAACTTCAATCAAAACAATCCAAAAATCAATCAATAATCCTTACTTCAATCTTGGAAGGTTTTGCACCATTATTAACAAATGAAGAGTTCCAAATCATAACAAATGATGAATCACGTTCTTCCAAACCATCATCATCATCAAATTTAACTCTAGGACTGGGATTAGGATCAGATACAGAACATGGTGAAGAATCAGGGACAGGTCGTACAACAACTTCATCAAGAGCTGTAAGAGAGGCAAGAGATCGTGAAGGTTATAAAGATGGGAATGCTGCTACGTTGAATAAGATTATGAAACAGTATACTAGTCCTAATGAATTGGATGAATTGGAGATTGAATCTGATTTGAAAATCTTGAGAAGTGGGAAATGAATAGTGAATAGTGACTGAGTACAGTGACTTAGAAAAAGTAATGGGTTTGGGGTGTTTTGTTTTGTTTTGTTTATTTGTTCTATATGTTCTATATGTTTTATTGAATCATACATGTTTGTAGTAATCATACTTCAATTACAGTAATACTTTTAGGAATTTTAACATTAGTATGATAGATACATTTAGAAGTTCCAAGTTCTAACCCACGGTTAAATCAATAAACTCTGATAATCATAGGTACCAATCTTCTATGAAATTCCTTGAACAACGGCTATATAAGATTACTATAATTAGAATTTAATACCAATTTAACTTTACCCTTTACCCCAGAATCCCACACAAAGAATGAATCCGTTCTTGATGATCCATATTGATTGGGGAATACATTAAAGATCTACAAAACGATCACGAAAGGTTAATGGTTAATTGAACCGATAAATCATAAGCAATTTTAGGTTTAAGGTTTAAGGGTATAACCTATTGTGCATTGTTTATTTATCCTATGAGTCCTACAGTTTTCAAACCATATACCAAATAGGCACCTCTACTTTCCCAATGTGATCATGAAATTAGTCTTTAACCCACTCCATATCAACCACCACATACCACACATAGGCATTATGATAGGTTGTAAGCTGGTTTGATCTTAGTTGTCAATGGGAAGGTTCAAGGTACTCCATATTCATCGTTACTTATACACTTTTAGTAAAGATACATTAAATCACATTTTAAGATCTACTACTTTTATGAAAATGGGAGGTTTAAGAGTCATATGATTAACTGTCAAAATCCAGGATGTAGGAATAAAACCAAGAGTACCAAGAAACATATCATTAATTACGACTGATGAGGTAGAAGCAACTTGTAGAAGAATGGAAGGAAGTCTTTGTTTGTTTGTTTGTTGATCGGATCTAGTTAAACTACCGATCTGAAATCAAATCTAAGATCCAAACAACACAGGGTTCAACAACGATTTTAAGTGGACATGAACTTTGAAAGAATAGCATCTGTACACAAGGTTATCTTCGGCAAACAAAATCGGTTAGAACTTAGTATCATAGGTATTCTGTACGTCTTTGACAGGGCTGTTTGACAAGTTGTGAAGTAAGAAGGGGTAGTTGATTTCTCCATTCAAATTTAGAGTGTAGATCTTTGGGAATAACACTTTATACATATATCAAAACTTTAGGTTTTAAATTAAGGTGGTGCTTAAGTTATTGTACGTCTTTATTTCTCCAGTTTATCAGTATAGGATCAAGATTTCAAACTTCAAACTACCCTTTGTTTATGAAAGAGGTAACCCTTTGAATATCTGATCGTATTCGATTTAAGCTTTTAGGATTATCATGCATGGATTTTCAGTCTAAAAGAATATGGAACTTACATGAAATGAAAATTTTCAACCAATCAAGATCTGACTTCTGTATTTACTAAAAGGTGTTTTATTGTTTATTTTCCATAAATAACAAAGATCTCAGATTTCCAAAGGGTTTAAAGTTGATTTTGATAGGTATTGGAATTTGATTTAAGAATTCGTGCAAGATATAACTTTATACTTTTGAGGTTTTACTCCCGAAGTTATAGGAAAGTTTATACATGAGACATAAGAATAAAAGTCATTCATTTGAGGTACATGGATTAAAGTTCAACTAATATAATGTACACATGCCTTAAGGTTTCAAGTAGCTTTGATTCAAAGAAATTGGAACCCTGTGCATCGAGAATCATATTTTAAGAAATTATATAAAGGGTATTAAAGATCCAGATATTTCATAAATTTTCAAATATGATTTAGATCATCATCAATATACTTCAAGAAGCTGCCTATACTTAATCATGAAGTTGATTCAACTTATTCAATTACTTTCATTCGCCATAACCGTCTTGGGGTTTAGTGATTCAGTTTATAACAAATTATTTGAAATTACCAACTATGCTAAAATTTCATATTGTTCAGTTGATGAAAGATTCACTACAGGTCCATTTTCTGAAGAATGTTCAGATTTAGGTTTTTGTAAAAAAGAAGAACAAAAAGATACTACAATTGAAGCTGTTGTTCGTCCAAATTTTTTCGAAAGTGAAATTAGTGGTGATTCTTATGTTGCAGTTAATGATGAAGATAAACAAGTTTATATTGTATTCAGAGGTTCAGTTACACCAGGTGATTGGATTACAGATATTACATTTGCACAATGTCCATATGCATCAGCTTTGAAAAATGATATTAAATATGATGATTTTGATAATGGAACAGATTCAGATTCTATTAAAGCTACAATTTTATCAAAATCAAATAATAAATTAGAATGTGAAGATTGTTATGTTCATTGTGGTGTTTATGCAGAATTCACCAAATCAATTCAAGATTTAAATAAAGCTGCTAAACCATATTTGGATAAAGGTTATAATTTAACTATTACAGGTCATTCACTTGGTGGTGGTTATGCAACTCTTGGTGCTGCTGAATTTAGAAATTTAGGTTATAATCCATTAACTATTACATATGCATCATTAAGAGTTGGTAATCCAGCTTTTAATAAATGGTTAGATTCAATTTATAATACTGAAGAAAATGCCAAAATTGTTGGTAATGGAGGTGATTTACCAATTCCATCATATTCAAGAGTTCATCAAGAAACTGATGTTGTTCCAAGATTACCACCAAGTGTTCCAGGTGTTTTAGAATATACTCATTCAGGTTTAGATTTTTCAATTACTAAAGTTCTATTGCCTCATAATAAAGAAAATGTTGTTTTCCAAGGTGCTTCTGATAATGATAAAAATGATGCAGTTGATGTTAAATTCCAACCTGGTATGGTTTTATTCATTTATCAACATTTACATCAATTCCAAAGAATTGGTGTTCCTTGTAATGATTGGGATTACTTAGATTAAGTGGATACCAATATCTTTTGATCCATAAAAATTAAAATAATACCTTTAAAATTTTCTTATTCTTTTCAACGATTCTTGATGAATCAAATACTTTATAATTCTTATAGTTAATATAATAATTTTGATATGTTTGATCAATCTCCCAGTTGTAGTATCATGAACATTAACAAGAACTACTTTTAAATAATTCCAAGACAATCACACAGTATATGAATGACTTAGATTGCTAATTGACTTTCATAAATGACTTTCATGAATTGTCTTGAACATTGGCACTGTTCATCTTGATCAAATTCGGATGTAAATCAAAATTCATTGAGATCTTTAGATTTTGATTTTCCGAGATGAGATCGAAGCTTTTAATTACATAAAATGGAAAATTCCATACATAAAGACAAGAAAGGTGAAGTTGAGTACAATTTGATTTAAATCTTGTTAAAACCATGATAAATGAGTTCACTATGGATCATGTACTTGGTCTATCAAACTTTCTAGAGTCAAATAATCGGTGACTTAACTACTATACAAATTACATTAGCTCTAGTCAACCATGTGTGCTTTTACCTTTGATGCCTCAAGATACAAACATGTATTATAAGTATCTATACATCTCTCGTATACTCGTGTGAAATATTCAATTTGAGGTTATAAATGTATGATCCTTGTATGGTGTTGTAGACTATTATCATCAAGCCCTAGTCGTTCCTTCGTTCTTCGTTCTTCGTTCTTCGTTCTTCGTTCTTCGTACAGTTGTAAAGCCTGAGTATTGATCAGGGATTAGTATACACAAATCAAAAAGTGTACAGTTTTATTGTCTTTGAAAGGGAAAATTACTTTATACTTGAGGTTTATATAGCTAATATAACTGAGTGAGCTGTTTGAGATTGAATCAGTACATAGTGCATATAGGCTTTTTTACTCCATCTTCAATGTAAAATTTTGCATCTCAGTGTGATCTGATAAACCACAGACCGACAACTCCTATTTGTAACACATATATATATAAAGAACCAGAAAATATTAGACTTGTATCTATAAGATCATATTATCAACAACCAACACTTGCTTCTAGTATATCTGATACAACAAATTGTATAGTTCTCTATATCAACAGCTTGTACCATATATTACTTCACTTTTTCTGACCTTATCAATGATGATCTATGATTTAGATCATGACATTTCCAAAATCAAGTTTAATCAAAACCAAGCACATTCCAGATAAAAATTCTCATTAAGATTATTATCAACTGTCACTAATTATTGATGTGATTTCATAAATCTAACAAAGCTTCCAGAAACATTTCATAAATGTGTCAAAAGACTTCTCCCAATAGATAACAATAATTTTACGATCAACAAATTGGTCAAACGACCATTAACTTGAACCATTTGTTCTCTTTTCAGTTGATTCATTGTCATTAACATCCTTCTATCACCACATTCACTCTGTTGAACCTTTTCCCTCCATCTCTCTCAGTCTGATTACTTCCTTCATCATTCCATCCAATAACAGTCCCACAATTAGCCTGATTACGCCCTGATTAGTCCAATCCCATCACCACCATTAACAACCAACACCACCAACACCATCAACAAACCCTGGGTGAACCATACCCGTAGAACACACTCAGCACATCCATTCAGTCCCATTCCTACTCCCTAATACACCTCTTCACCACCCTCCAAATCCCACTGGTTTTTCCTAATGACATTTACCACCTTCACAATTGGATCATCAGCCAGGCCCGGTTCCCAGTTTTACACAGAGCATCCACGGCTTAACTATGCACTCCCGTTCCCATTTTTACTCCGATATTTAAAATTCGAGAACATTCAAAATTTTGAAAAAAAAAAAAAAAAAAGCAAAAGAAAATTTTTTGTTCAACGATTTCAAGTTTATAAAAATTGAAAAAAAAAAGTTTTTATTACTCTTTTTTAACTTTGATTTATCAATTATCAACAATTCTGTATATTCAAAATGGCTGAAGAAGAAGTATGTACTGCTCAAAAAGCATATTTGGAAGAAAGGGAACATTGATGCACTGGTTGCTAGTTGTTATTTAGAGTTTAGGTGATTTGTTTTGATTTGGATGTCGTGTTTTTAAGGGTGTGTCGAAAGATAATAAATTTGATGGAGTGGAAATTTCTAATAAAAGAAAAATCAACAATAAAGTTAATCAATATTGTTCCCTTCATCTTCATGGATTATGATTACTATTTTTACCAGAATTTAATACTAACTGATTTAAAATAGCACGTTTTCGAAACCGCTGATGCCGGTTCATCATTAACCTACCCAATGCAATGTTCTGCTTTAAGAAAAAATGGTTTCGTTGTTATTAAAAACAGACCATGTAAAATTGTTGATATGTCAACTTCTAAAACTGGTAAGCATGGTCATGCTAAAGTTCATTTAGTCGCCATTGATATCTTCACTTCAAAAAAATTAGAAGATTTATCTCCATCAACTCATAATATGGAAGTTCCAAACGTTAGAAGATCAGAATATCAATTAATAGATATTGATGATGGTTTCTTAAGTTTAATGACTCCAGATGGTGACACCAAAGATGATGTCCGTGTTCCAGAATCTGAAATTGGTGAACAAATCCAATCTCAATTCGATGAAGGTAAAGATTTATTAGTTACCATCATCTCTGCTATGGGTGAAGAAGCTCCAATTGCTGTTAAAGAAGCTCCAAAAGGTTTATAAGTTGATTAAACTTGGTAAATATTTCTTGAAGGCTTTAAAAAAGCGGATTTGAACAAAAAAAAAAAGAAAATTCAATTATGTTGCACAAATTGTGTATATATGTGAAAGAATTTTTGTTTTAAATTATTTTATATTTTGTTTCTTGATTATAAGCATTTATTCATTTTTATGATTAATTATTTGTTATTAAATTTTAAAATTTTGTAGTTGAACTTTAAATTATCTTTACCTTAAACTTAATCTAGACTTTAAAATCCCAATAGGCTATCTCGTATTGGTTATTATTTTAATATCCGGGTTTTTATATTCTGGGGTTGTGGTTTTTACCAAGACTATACGATTTTTCATCGGTGATTTACTACAACAATAGCATTTCAATTGTCAAATATTTTATTAATAGTACACACATATAACATGATTAAATCATAATTCTAAAAAAGTTAAAAAAGTAGTATAGAAAAAAAAAGAGATTAAAACATAAAAAAGAATAAAAGGGGGTAAGTAAAAAAGTTTATAATTAGAAGTGAATAATGAAACAACCTCTAAATTTCTTTGTTCATTTGATTGAAATAACATGTATACTAGACATTGTTATTATTTGGGGGTGTTTTGTTTTGTTTTGTTGTTTCTATTGTACAAACTGATATTATAGCCTAAGCAAGACTTGCAACGTATAAGGCAACTAAAATACCAACACTTGATCCAATAAATGGAATATTACCTAAAACTAAGTTTAATGTAATTGAATTATGAACAAAATGAGCATTGATTTTTTCATATAATGTAGCTTGAAGTAATCCATGTTCATCAGCCCAAACTGCAGTATCATCTTTAATATCTTGGAATGAAATAGTTTTAGAATAAACAAGATAACTTATAATTAATTTAACAATATTGAAAATTAATGGATCAAATCTTTGTTTTTTGAATTTCTTTGTAGTGAAATTAACATAATGAGAAACAAATAATGGAATACCAATTGAAAATGTAAACCAAGTTAAAACAATTAAAATAAATTTAAATTGTATTAAAGCACTTAAATCAAAAATTTTCCATGATTGATCAATAAATTTATATTTAGAAATAATTTCTTGACTTAAAAATGGAGCTTCACTAATTTGAATTAATGGAACTTGTTGATAAGTTAATAAACCTAATTCTAAACTTTGAATAAAGAAATTAACAGCTTGAACTGAACTTAATTTCTTTCTGGTATCATTGTTAAATTTAACAGTAGAGTAAATAAATTCTTCTTTTTGATCTTCTAAATAATCATAAGTTGATTCATAAGTTTCAATGAACCAATCTTGAATTTTAGTTAAAAATTCAAATTTTGGTTTATATTCACCATCAGCTTCTTCATCATCTTCATTGGCAGGAGTTCCGTCTTCATTCAATAATTCAACATCATCATCTTCTTCTTCGTCGTCTTCTTTTTCATCATCTTTCTCTTCTTCATCATCATCATCTTGTTCTTCATCTTCAACTAATTCTGAAGCTTCATCTTCAACAGCTGATTTATAAGGACTTGATTTGTTTTTCAAGTTTCTTCTAATGTTTAAGACTTTATCAGGAGATGATCTTAATCCATCATTCAATTGAGGTATAACTTTATAAGATGGTGAAGAAGTAATGTCATTCTTGTATACATTAGTTGAAGCTTCTTTAGTTGGTGAATTTTTTTGTCTAAAGATATAGAATTTTCTATAATATTGATGGTTTTCTAATTCTGGATGATTATCAAAATGTTGAGCTAATTTTTCTTCAAGAATTGGTTTGGTTCCTTCTTCACTAAATTCAAAATATGTTAGTTATATGATAAATAAACAAATTGACATGAATATACATACTTGACATTAAGGTCGCGACACATTTCAACAAGTGAAGCTTTTGTTTGTTGTTTTAAACTCATCTTGGATATTTGCTTGTGAGAATTGAACGGGTTTAACTGTTGTGGAGTTATTGTTGTTCTGAAAGTTGTTGAAGTTGTTGTTGTTGTTGTTATTCAAAACACGAATTGTTGTTTTTGTTGTGGTGATGATTGTTTTGCAATTGTTTTTGTGAATTTCGAGACAATTTATTCAAATTTTGGGAATTTTTGTTTCTAGGAGCAACCGTGTTCCGAAAAGAGTAATAGGTAAACATCACGTGAACAAATGACTCTCATTCGAATCCCTGTGTATGCGCTTTTGTGTTTTTTTACAATTTTATTTTTATTTTTATTGTTTGGTTCATTTCTTTATGTGTACGGTGATTAGTGATGCTTAGTGTGTATTAAAGACTCGTTTTCAAGTACTCCATGATAACCAGCGTCTTTAATACCTTTGTATTATCGGATAGACACAAGAGATTCCCGAGTTGATTAAAATACCACTCATTTGCAAGCGATGTAACCTTATTTTGGTATTCGTACGCATCTCTTTTTCCCATTATGAGCGATATCGACGCTTGTAACCGTTTATGCCGGTTCAAATATGGTAATCTTTCATGAAGGCATATTGATTAGGAAATCTATATAAATATGAGTTAAAAGTACGTATTGATTGAAATTTATTGTCGTAAGTGATAAGTGATCTAAGCTTTTTTCTCCAAGATAAATCGTTTAAAATGCTTCCAGGTGGTGTTATCTTAGTGTTTGTTCTTGTTGGTTTAGTTGGTGAGTATTAATCCAAGTTCATTTTCAAGACCTGCGTATTAACTTTTGTTTAGCCATTGCTGCTTTTTCAGTTATCATAATGAACAAAATCAAAGCTAGAAAGAGATCATTACAATCATTTTAAAGTGGTTCCAGTCATCTAATAAATCAACCTCATAATAATTACAATATATGAAAAACAACATGATGCTAAAGAAGTGATGTCCTATAAATAATAACGGATATTTACAGATTTAATGAATAATTAATAGATTTAATACCCAAATACATGTGATCAATTTATAAGTAATGCAAATTTGTATTAAAAAAAGTCTAAAATTCATCCAACTATTATACATATATAATTGGATAAACTTAGAATGCAAGAAAATGTATAAATCTATATATACCTGTCAATTCAACTTCTAATTTCTTCCTCTTCATCACCATGACTCTCCTCCTCTTCATCATCTTCATCATTTGAATCTTTCAAATATCTACTTTGATAAACAGCTAATAAACTTATTAAACTCAATAACCACCAACCAATCCATGCAATTTGATAATTTTGTCCCCATGACATTATAAACCCCCAAATTAATGGACCTGTACATCTTGCCAATGCACTAACTGAAATAGTAGCACCATTGATTAAAGCTCTATGTTTTGGTGGTGAACAATTATGAACAATTAATAAAATTTGTGGGAATGAAATTGATGTTCCTAAAGTTTTCAAACATGTTAATGTATATGCTGATAATTTACCTAAAGTTTTATGATCTGCAAAAAAGACCAAATAAGGTACTAAGAAATAACAAATTGGGAAAATTTTAATAAAATTCTTATATGTTGTTAAACAATCATAATGTCTATCAACATATGGGAAAACAAATAAAACAAATATAACACCCAATACACCAGTTGATGATAATAATTGACCTGTATCTTCAGATGTATAATTTAATCCACCAACAATTTTTAATGGGAATTCTGAAATTAAATTACCCAATTTATCTCTAGCAACATCATAGGCCAAGAAAATTGGTAAAAATTCATCATGAACCACAATATGTAAACTCATAATAAAATTACAAACAACTGCATAAAAAATATGTGGAGTTAATAATTCTTTATAATTAATTTTTTCATCATCTTGAGATTCATGTAATGAATAACTTCTAACAAGAGCAACACTCTGACGTCTTGTTAAAACATTACCAACTGATTTAATTGATTCATCTGATTCTATTTCTGGACTATAATCTCTATGATGTGCAGCACTGATTGATGTTTCACGATTATCTTCATCATCATCTTCATCTAATAATGCAGTTTCTTCGTCAATAATTGCTGGGGAAGGTGGTGTATTTCTTCTTTGTTTAGAAGTATTATCAATAGACAATTTGTGCCATGCTCTTGATTTTGGTTCAATTTTGAAAATATATCTTTTAATTGAATCACCTAATTCCACAAATGGATCAAATCTATATTTATGTTTATAATGAGTTTCTTCTAAGAAGAAAATTGCTGTAATCATACTTATGAATAATAAAGCTGAAACAAATAAATTTGGTAATGCATATGGATATTTTTCCACTAATGGTCTTAATACATTAAATCTTGTTGTTTTACCACTTAAAAACCCACCAATTAATGGACCTACAACACAACCAACTTGGAAAATTAAAGGCATTGTAGAAAATGCTAAAGCTTGATGTTTTCTTTCAGTTGCAACTTCACCAATCATTGTTCTAATAACTGCAACATTACCATTTAAAAGACCCATTGTTGATCTTGCCAAAAGTGCCCAATAATAATTCTTAGCAAAACCTAATAATAATAAACTTATAATACTACCCGTTAGACCAATAATTAAAGTTGGTTTACGACCATTTTTATCAGCAAATTTCCCCCAATTAAAACTTGTTAAAACTTGACAAAATGCAAATGTTGAACTTAAATAACCTGAATATTTTGAAACTTCAGCTTCATTTTCTGCAACGCCAAAATCTTTAACCATAAAATAAACATATGGGAATAATGAAGTAAATGCAATAGGTTCAGCAAATCTAACTAATGAAATAACAAAGATTTGTGACCAAGGAAATCCTTTCATTTGTTGTCTAAACGACTCTTGATTCTTCTTGGGAGCCATCTTGTCTGTGTGGTACGTGTAGTCACCGTCGATGAATATCTGATTAACAAAGATAAAAACAGCAGATCTAATTCCTTATAAATAACAAGCGCTGACTCAAAATGAAAATTGATGTAAAAAAAAAATTCTTTGCCGTTCTGACGTTAGTTTTGTATGAGCCCTGAGGTGGTTGTATAATGCTGTGTTAGTCGTGATCGGTGTATCAGCCACAAGCTGCTGCTATTAAGTCTAAAATTTTGAACGCGCTGAAGAATGGAAACAAATTTTGACTAAACTGTGTTGTTGTTTTGAAAGATAACAAATTTTCTAAATAGAATCCACAGTTTTCGGATGGATCTCCCAATTGGGGCATACTCCGTGATTGTATTCAGATCTCAAAATCGTCAGGTGAAGAGATTCTTATCAAGTGGTGTAATGTGTAGATAATATGCTATTATATTCGATCTCATGATTATGCTTTCTCTTTATTGTTACTATGCTGTATATTATGCAGCTAAATCTTGATGTACATTGTGCTAATTATTTTCTAAAACTGTGGTGTGGTACCTTAAAAGCTTAGCAGCGCACTTATAAACCCGAATCGCGAATATCAGGCCCCAAAATTTGCCCAATATATGAAGACGTTGATAATGGAATAAAATTGTATGGTAAAGATGCAATTAAAATACTTTAATTTGCTGATGTGGAGTTTGTGTATATTTCAATACTAATTTTAGGTGCTAAAAACGAGTTTGAAATTTTGGAATTTTTAATTTTCATTAAATTGTCAACCTTGGAATTTTTTATGTTACTTTAAGATTGAAGACTTTAATATTTCTTCAATTTTGTTTTTGGCGTTTTTGGAGATTTTGAAGCTATATTGATACAATTCAGACTTCAAGGATTATTTCTACATAATTATCAACTCTACCGGAGCCATATATCATTCAATAATTCCAGATATAGAGATACAGTATAATTTTGGCGCCCGCGAATTGCATAAGGTACCTCATTATCTTATATCCATAAAACTTATACATATTAAGGCTTTTCCGATTTTAAGCAAAGGTAATAGAATTCTTTTAGAATATACTATATATATGATAGTAAGTGCTGAATAGATATATCCAATTCCTATAGAAAGTCGCTCTATTGATTTGCCATCACAGTGCTTATAAACTACAAATAAGTATTTTTAAAGATATAGACATGGGTGATCCAACTTGATCAATATTCCATTTTGTTTCAAATGTATAATACTTCCTCAAGCTAGAATCCCTTGTATATTGAAGCATTAAATGAATGATCTGTCTACTATAAGCAAAGTATCAATTCTCAAAGGATAAGGTCAATTGACGCTCTATTCTTCGAATTTGATTTTGTTCAAGGATCAATATGCAATGATATCCAGACACAATTGGATTCTTCAAAGCTTTAAAACGAACTTTTGAACACGAATAGTGTAGATAAGGAATCAGAAAGTCAGAAAGGTTTTAATGAACAAAATCCTAGATTTGAAATACTTTATTGAAGTGGCAAAATTGAGGAAAAAAGAATTCAAATTTTCAGCGGTTGATTTCCTATTTATATTGATCTGGGGAATTTGCTGCCCCATCCCAAAATTAAAAAAATAAACAATAAAAATAAACAATTTGTTGTTCTTTATGTTGATCATCAAAGAGTACAAAGACAAAAAACCATGGGTGAACAACTGGTGGTTATTTCTGGTGGTACAGCTTCAAACTCATTAGTTAATCTGTTTCAATCATTATCCCCTAAAACTACATACATCCTACCAGTTTCTGATAATGGTGGTTCAACTTCTGAAATCCTGAGAGTACTTGGTGGTCCTGCAATTGGTGATTTAAGATCAAGAATAACTAGATTGATACCTGATGGAGGTGGGTTCAAAGAATTGTTAAGTTATAGATTATCTGAAGATAGTGAAGAGGCTAAACATGAATGGACACAGATTGTGGAAGGTCAACATGAGATTTGGAATAATTTAGAAATTCAATGTAAAGAAATGGTTAGATCATTTTTGATTCATGTTCATATGGAATTATTGAAAAAATCAAGAAATCCATCAACAAATTTCAAATATGAAATGGCAAGTATTGGGAACTTACTTTTAACTGGTATTAGATTATTTGTTGGATCTTTAGATAGTGCAATTGAATTAGTTTTAAGAATGACAAGAGTCTCTCCTAATATCAAAATATTACCTTGTTTAAATACAAATTATACATATCATATAAGTGCACAATTGAACAATGGAGAAGTAATAACTGGTCAATCTCAAATTTCACATCCAAATGAACCTATATCCACAATAATGAGCTCATCAACTTCAGTTCATAAAATTTATGATCCTGTGGCATTACATGAAAATCATGAAGATGTTCCATATCAACACCCAGATTTGGCTAAATCACAATTACATTTCTCTAAAGAGGTTAATCAACCTTTAAATTCACCAATTGATAAGATTTTCTATATAAATCCTTATGGTGAAGAAATTCATCCACAAGCAAATTCAAGAGCTATTCAAGATATAAATGATTCAAAGGCAATAATTTATTCCATAGGTTCATTAATGACTAGTACAATACCTGTGCTTATATTAAAGGGGATTGGGATGTCAATTTTTAAATCAAAATCTCCAAAGATCTTATTATTAAATGGGAATCATGATCGTGAAACTTCTGGACTTGATGCTTTTGATTTCATTTTAACAATATGTAAAGCCGTGAATTATAGTATTAGTGATGAAGCAGTTAAATTAAACTACACAGATATAATCACACATTTGATGTTTATGGAAAACCCAGAGATCAAGGTTAGACAAGATGATATTGAAGCAGTAGGTATTAAATGTATTAAAGTATCAAAAGACCCAATGCTTGGAGATGATCTTAAAATTTATGATTCTAATGATTTACAACAAAAATTATTATCAATAGTTAATCAATAACTTTATTTATATTCATAATCAAATTAATATTTAAATATTCATGATCTAAATTTTTTTGGAATGTTTTGTAATTTTATATATTGTTCAAATTGTTCATCAGTCCATTTTCCTACTGAAGTATCAACTTCATGTTCAATTTCATGTTCATGATGTAATAATTCATGTTCAATATCTTCCTTATGTATATTTTTAATATCTGGATCTTGATCTTTATGATATTTATTCCAATGATGAACTTCATATTCATATTCAAAATCTCCATGATGACCAACACCAACACCTAAATCAGGAAATTTCCCACCTTTATTAGCAAATTTTAAATATTCTTCTTTAGTGATTTTATCATCTGTATTAGCATCCATCATTTTCAAAATTGCCTTGACAATTTGATCTTTTGTTTCTTTACTTATACCTTCAGAATCATCATGACTACCTAAACCATCACCTTTCCCAACAACTTCATCTCTATTTAATCCATAAGCATTCAGTATATCATCAGCATCCAAATAGTTTTTATTTTTAGAATCATGTAATGTGAAAAATGATTCTGCATCATATTCATCTAATCCATGTTCTTGTTTCATATGCCATTCTTCCCAAGTTAGACCATCTGGAGGTGATTCTTTTAAATTTGTACTATCTGACCCAGGTGAACCATGATCTCCATGTGCCAAAGTGTATGTGAATATAGATGCAAGTGATAGCAAAGTAGAGTATTTCATAGTATCTTATGTATCCACCTATAATGAAGACCTATGAAATAAAGATCTTGATCTTTGTTGAATGATCTGTTGATCTGACGTTTTGCTACGTTTCCTATAGTTTAGCCGCGAATTCTTTCAGAAAAGTCCGAATCTTGAATTTGAATTCATTTCATTGTACGTTACAAAACGGTAACAATGACAAATTTTCGTTGCTTAATCGTTGAAGTTTGCCGAAATTTGTCCAAGTGATGAGTATGGGTACTTTTTGAGCTTTCAGGTATTTTAAGCTACAATGTCAGCATTCCAAAGACTGGAAGTGCATTACGATCTTATATTTCAGTTAAGCTCTAGATGTGTTCAAAGCTTAAAGATTAATGACTCAGTTCAGATCTGACTTGTCAAAAGCACTAATATTTGAAACGTTTGTGGATATTGGAAAAAATAGGTGTCTCTTGAGTCCAGAGACTGATTGAGTTTTGGGTTAGCTAGATCATAATGACCAATTTGTTGTCAATGTTGATGTTGTAATGAACAAAAGTTAGTTCTTCTGGTTCCCGAAAACCCATTTGTTACAATTGACTAGACTGGTCCGAGATAATCCTGCTCAATTGCCTAAAAACTGATCAATTTGTCTCAAATAGAACCAATTTCTCTCTTATCATAACCAAATTAAATTCAAAATCTTGAGCTTTAAAGCCCTAAAATGTTATATAGTACGTGCCCATTTCAAAGTCTTCGCGAATTAAAGATTTCAAATTTGTTCCCAATTTCCTCATAAAAAAAACAATCGTCGAGATTCTTTTATTCTTCTTGAACAACCATTTAGGTACTTTCTCTATTCAAAAATCAATCAAAAAAGTATGTTTCAATATCAGAATAACAAAAGAACCATAACCAATTACAACAAGGGAAACACAATAATATCTTATATTCTTAATGATGAAAAAAAAATTACACAGACCTGTACTAATTTCATCCTTACGAGGGTGCGAAGTGCGGATAAAAATTGCCTTTACTGATTTAAATTCAAGATATTATATTCTGTGTTTTCATATTCTTGAATTGGGTTAGGTTTTATGATTTCATTGAGATTCATTTTGACTAACAAATTTCATTTAGTTTATAATAATTTTTTGAGTATATATTGAATATGATGATTTTATGATTTAATATGATGATTTTTGTAGAAAAAAACTAAACGCTTAAGTTTGAAGTCTTGATTGATGACCGTTAGTTAAATAACTCAGATACGAACCAAAGATTCTGAAGTATTGAATTATGGGCTGAATTCTGAATCCTGAATCTTTAATTGTAAATTCTAACTCTTAACGTTACTCAAGAGTTAAGAGTCAAGTATAATATTATAGATTTCTATCACATACAATGACATCAAAGATTTATCAATATGAGAACTACAGACGAAAGATTAAATAAAACTACAAACACCATTTTTTTATTATAACCGTAAAAATTTGATGATACATGAAAGAAAACCTATTAAACAATCTATTTCTTAGCAGTCAATCTTCTTAAGTAGAAAGCTAATTCTTCACCTTCTAAGATGTAACCATCAGCTCTACCAGATTGACCTGGTCTTGATGAGATAGCAGCGTATAATCTACCAGCACCGAATTGTGAGTCAACAGCTTGTTCAATTTTTGATGATGATGATCTTGAAGCTAATTTTCTTTCTAATTTTCTTGATTTTTTAACTTCTTCTTCATCAGCTTTAGCTTGACCTTTCTTTTTACCTAAAGTGGTACCGTAATGGTTTTCAAACCATTGTTTGAATGGAGCAGCATCAATTTGAACAATAGCAGCTTTGGTTAAAGTGTTAGTTCTAACCAATTCATTGTTTGATGGATGGTAAGCAACACCAACAATTCTGGTTTTTCTTGAAACACCTTCTGAAGCCCATGAGAAGTTACCGGTTTCAACTCTTAAAGCTCTGAATTTTTGGTTACCACCTCTAGTTCTAACTGAATGGATACGTTTGGTACCAATTTTGGTGTTTGAACCTTGACGACCTAATTCAAACTTTCTCTTCTTTCTGAATTGAGCTCTTTTAGCACCAGTAGCGGCTCTTTTGTGACGAGAATCTCTTGAAATACCCATTTTGTATTATAAACTATGAAACTTGTTAGTATGAATGTTCTTTAATTATTCTTTTCAAAAGTGTTGTTGAATAAAGTATATATAATAAATCTTAATATATGATGATTCAAATTTTTTTAATGAAATGGAATGATAAACAAATAGGGATATGAATGTAATAAATATGATAGAGTTTCTTCCCTTCTTCTTATGTATAGACTTGATTCCTTTCTTGCAACACTTTATGATAGTATTCCCACTTACTAAGTATTGATCCTTGATGTTGATACCTCTTCTCTAATATTAAGAAGAAAGATTATGGATTTCAATTTTTCATAAAACTCAAGAGTCTTTGGACAGATTCCACGAAAAACAAAATAATTCGCGGAAAAAGAGAAAAGTTTGCAAAGGGGCACACAGTAAGATGGCTAGACAGAGACTTAGGCAGAAAAGTTAGGAGCTAGGCAGAGAATGGGATATTGCTAGACAGAAGGTTGGTTGGGAGGAGCCCAGTGCAACACCGGTGGGAAGAATGAGGAGCGAGTGCGAAAATTGTTTGGCTGGGAAGAAGTGCGTGTACCATATGAGGTGTGTGGATGTTTGAAATAGATTTTTGTCACAGTTGGTGATCAATTTTGACAAACGAGCCCTATCAAAGTATCATGTGGCTGGTCTCAACTTTAGGGCTCTTTTAAGTTTTTTTTTTAAATTTTTTTCTCAACCTTTCTTTTGTTATTAATAAGATCAAGAGACCTTTAAAATTAATTTATTTTGAAACAATTGCTTAAAAGGTGTATTCGGACTATTATCAAGATTCAATATCACATATTTTTAATACAACAAGATGTCATACTATGATCAGATAGAAATTGAGGATATGACTTTTGATCCTACAACACAATTATTCACATATCCATGTCCTTGTGGTGATAAATTCCAAGTATTTATTGATGATTTACAAGATGGTGAAGATGTTGCAGTTTGTCCAAGTTGTTCTTTAATGATTCAAGTTATTTTTGAACCTGAAGATCTTGAAGAGTTCTATGAAGAAATGAATACTGATGATTTAGTTGCACAACCTATTGCTGCTTAGAGATTTTCTATTGTTTTAATTTTTTTAGTAAATCAACATGAGAAGGTAGTACATAGCTCCAGAAAAGACAGTGGCAGTCCACACACAAACACTGGAAATATGAATATGAAGAACAATCACAGCTACATAGTGGACCTCCATTTAAAGCACCACACAGATAGCACAGATTTAGTATTCAGAAACATCATTCAGTATTAATTTAGTCAAACTAATTTACTTGTATAATTTAATAGGTTGCATTTTAGGAAAAACGGTTAATAAAAGTTTTAATTCATTCGGAATTTGTTGTAGAGAAGCCAAAAAAAAAGTCAACCTTAAGTAAACCAGATCTGCTGAATGAGAAGAATATATCAGAGAAGTTGTCAAATGTGTCATAATTCTCATTTCTCATATTCATACACTGGAATGGCTGCACTTCCCGAGAGATTATGTGCTTATTGAGAAGCTTTCAGATCCTGCGCTAACCAGTATGTCCGTTGGAACTTGCCGACTTATCAGAAATATAAAGAGCATTGTTTATGTCTCCAGAAATTTGTTTTCGTTTTAGAAGTATAGTTTATTAGATACTAGTGTATTGAAGCCCTTGAAGATGCCTGAAAAGTTTAACCCTGATAAAGTTGTCCTTGCAACTTATAAATCTGATAAACCACCTGCTCCAAAACCTTTATCACCACCAAAATTAACAACTTTAGAAAGAGTTGGTAGACCATTAAGACATGTTCAATATATCCCAACAAAACAATTAGTTTTCTTCTCAAAATTTAAAGATCCAACATTCACTTATGATATTAAGTATAAATTACCAATAAAATCAAATAATGTGGTTATAAAGATCAAAGCTGTTGGTTTAAATCCTGTTGATTTGAAAATTAAAAACTCTTATACTTCAAATTTTAATTATGAAAGAGGTATTGGTCGTGAATATTCTGGTGTTGTTGTTGAAGCTGGTAAGAAATACAAGGATCAATTCAAAGAAGGTGATGAAGTTTGTGGGATATATTTCCATCCAAATTCCCTTGGAACCATTTCATCAGATATTCAAATCGATCCAAGTGTTGATCCAATCATCTCTAAACCAAAAGAATTGAGTTGGGAAAAATCTGGTAGTTGGTTATATACATTTGGTACTGCATTCCAATTATTGAAAAATGCGGAAAAACAATTATCAAAAGATTCAGTTGTATTAATTAATGGTGGTTCTTCAAGTGTTGGTTTAATGTGTATTCAAATTTTAAAACATTATTATAAAGTTGAAGATATTGCAGTAATTTGTTCAGGTTCAGCTATAAAATTAGTCAAAGAAACTGGTGCTAAATTAGCTATAAATTATAAAGTTAACAATAACTTACCAAAAGTTTTACAAGTCTTGAGTACAACTGGTGTTTATAAAGATTATGATGAATCTGGGAATATATTTGAAAGTCGTGCAATTCCTGCCAAAAAATTTGATTTGATTGTTGATACTGTTGGTGGTTATGATATCTTGGAGAAAACTTCTGATTATTTAGCTAAAGGAGGTTATTATATAACAACAGTTGGTGATTATAAATCAGATTATACAAAAGATTTATATAATGCATGGAATAATCCTGCAATGAATGCTCGTTCATTATTTGGTTCAGTTTGGAGTATGACTTATGTTCCATTTTATTTCAATCCAAAACCAAATGATGAATGGTTACAAATTGGTGTTGATATGTTGGAATCTGGTGAATTGGATGTTAAAATTGATTCTATTTATGATTGGCAAGATTATAAAAAGGCTGAAAATAGATTAAAATTAGGTCATGCTCATGGTAAAGTTATTTTGAATAATTTTAATTTTTAAGTTCCATGTTACAGTTATCTGATACCACTATATGAGAGAAGTCGATCATTATTTTCCATAGATTTTATACGTTTTAACGAATTTTGCATTTCATTTCATTACTTATTGTACACTACAGTAGCTCTATACTTACAACTCGATCAAAAATATCATCTATATTTATTTAAAAAAGGATAAAAGATGCAAATCAGAAGCCCAAAAAGAAGCCAAAAGTAAATAACCATTAATCATAAAACAAACACATTTCCCATCATCCCCATATAAAAAATAAAAAGAGTGAATTTAGTAGTTGGCATAAGATTTCAATTGATAAAACGGAATAAACCAAATGCAACTGCAATAGCCAAAATATAATAAACCATTTTTGAGCTTTGTCCTTCAACGGCATCTCTGGCTTGTTCATATCTTATTCTATCTTCTGGATCTAAAGTATTTGGATCAACTTCTTCTTCTTGTTTAGATTGTTGAGCTCTAGTTGACTTACTGGCTTTAGCTTCAAGTTCAGCTCTATCTTTAGCATCCCATTCTTTAATCTTTTGTTCAGTTTCTTCAATTAAATCACTAAAATTCTTTATAAATCTTTCATTTTGTAAATTCCAACCAAGACTTGCTCTCGCAAATTTCTTTCTTGTTAGTTCACTAGTTCTCAAAGAACCTGTGGTATCTTCATCACCAGTCATGAAACTTAATAACCCAGTCAAAATAGTTGCAACACTCCATGCTGGATTCCAAAGATCGGGATGATAATCACTCATACTTAAACATAATCTTGTGTTTGGTTGGAAACGTCCACTGGGCGTGATCATCTTGATAGCTGGTGGTTTGAATGGGTATTCATGAGTGAACATTAAAGTACCATGGTATTGGCCACCTTCATATGGTGTATCAGTTGGACCTGTAATCAAATAATGCCATTCAAGGATGTTATTTTCTGAAGGATGAGCTGTGATGTAAGGAGGTGGGTTTTCCACCATGGCCTTGTACTCCTTTGTGAGTCTCTTGTGTGCCTGTTTAGTAGCCATTTCAGCAGCGATATATCAGCTAAGATGAATCAAATACTTCAAGAGCTTGAGTATATTTTGGATTTCAAAACTAAGATTAGTTAGTATTTATATCTCTCATTTTGCTGAAGTGTTATTTTTGTGAACTAACCAGAAAAGGAGTTCGCGGGTTTTAAATTATTAAGACCGCGATTTTTTTAGTATAGTAACTTGAAAGCTATATAAAGAAAGAACTAATTTGAATTGAATTCTACTATGATTTTTTTAATTGTAACTATAATATTTATTAAACCTATATAAATTGTAAAAATGCACCGATGCAAAAAAGATTAAACCAATGGATGAAAAAGTCCCATGAATTAGAAAAATGCGTAAATGAAAACCAAAAAAGATGACGTGAAATGAATCGTTAAATAATGTAATGAATTAGCAAATGAAATCAGAAGCTATTATTGAAAGCAGTTTAACAAGAAACTAAATCAACAATTTCTAAGTGGATTGCAGTACATTGTTCAGCAACATTTTCATCATATAAGTTGTAGAAACTACCTGATAAACATTGGTAGAAAACATCATTGTCACCAATAGCTAAGTTACCATCTTTGGTGATTGACCAACCAGCAGCGTAAATTGAACCAGCTTGTGGTGGAGGACCATCAAATTGGAATTGTCTGTTTGCAACAATAGCACCTAATCTACCTTTAGCATCTGTTAAAATGGAATCTTTTAAGGTTAAAGCTAATGATTCATCAGTTAAACATGAAGTTGATTGGATTTCTAAGTCACCAGATTTATGAGCACCAGTTGAACTTGGTTCAGCAGCACCAGAAGTTGAAGTAGCTTGGATTTGACCATCACCGATTTGTGAAACAACATCAGTAGAAGTAGTAGCAGTAGTAGCTTGAATTTGACCATCACCAATTTGTGAGATAACTTGAGCAGATTCTTTTGGAGCAGAAGTTGAAGTAGTAGCTTGGATTTGACCATCACCGATTTGTGAAACAACTTGAGCAGTTTGTTTTGGAGCTGAAGCAGTTGAAGTAGTAGCTTGAATTTGACCATCACCAATTTGAGAAACAACTTGGGCAGTTTGTTTTGGAGCTGAAGCAGTTGAAGTGGTAGCTTGAATTTGACCATCACCAATTTGTGAAATAACTTGAGCAGTTGGTTTAGCTGAGTTTGAAGCAGCAGCTGAAGTAGTAGCTTGGATTTGACCATCACCAATTTGAGAAATAACATCTCTTTTAGCTTTTGGAGCAGCTGAAGTAGTAGCAATTGGAACAACAGCAATACCGAAAGTTTTGGTATATTCAGTAGTAGCACCAGATGGAGCTGGAGCTTCTGGAGTTAAAGTTGACCATGGTTCAGATGGAATGTAAGCAGCTAATGAAGAACCAACTAATGAAGCAGCAGTTAACAAAGAGTATCTTGATTGCATTGTAATATAATTTGAATGTGTAATGAGTTTGATTGTTCTTTAAAGTAGATAAAGATTTGTATTCAATTGAATTGATGATTAGAACAAAAGGAAAGAAGATTGTAAATCATGAAGGATATTCACTCCCTTTTATACACATTTTGACATTATCAAAGATCCATAACTCCCGATCTAAAAATCCTATGTTAATCAATCATTATCACATTGTAGATCTAAAAATAATCACAAATTGATAATTTGAATATAACCTGCTTACTTTTTAATTACGTGCATATAATTAATTAACCCAAAACGGAAACTGACTAAGCACAATCAGCCCGAAATTACCGCATTTGAATAAAAGTAAACAAAATTCGCTCTGCTGGTTCTTATTTTAATTAGGTGCATAGAAAATTATTATGATGGGGTGGTGCTTGTTAGTGGTTGATCCGTCTTGGTATTCTGATCAGAGTTGTCAAAGTTTTGTTCGTGAAGTCTTGGTGTGTACTGGTGCTTTCAAAGCAAGCTTGAGTTATATCTTGAACTTGATATGGGGGTTTGGTTATATTGTGAAGGGTCTACGATATTCAATGCTTAAGATTGCACCTTTTAGATTGAATGTAAATCGATTGTGGTGTATACGAGTTGTTTTTGATAATTGATCTATATATGAAATTGTTGATCTAATATTTTGTTTGCTGGCGAAGCGTGAGGTAAAATTTCTTTTGATGTATTCGCTTTGAGGTATATGGTATATGGCAATCGGTAATTACGAAAACTTCAATGTCGTTAAAACCCCGATAGCTCACGAGAATACGAGAGCACTGCTTGACAATTGGTTAATATTAGGTGAATGCTGTCATCTTGGCTGAATAATTTTTTAACTAGCATGATGTAATTTATAGATAGCCAGCACAAGGATTAGTTGTATTCTATTTTTAGGTTTACCATAGATCTGATATGATTTGATCCAGATCAAGGGGTTACCAAGTAATTGAGCTACATGTTTTAGGGGTATAGATCAATAACAACGTCCTATTTTTGGGGAATGATAGTGATCATTGTGTGAATAATTAACTCAACGTGCACGACGTTGTTTTCTTGGAAAAGGTTGGTGTAATTAATTGATATATTTCAAAAGATGTGATCATTCAACATGATGGCTTGATCTTAAGCTAGCTGAGTAATTAATCGATCACATCTCAGAGATTATAGTTGAAGAGCTTTCCTACTTGACATCAGTCAGCTGGAATCAACTTGAGAATATCATACAGCTGTTTTCATAAGCATTGGAGGGATAAAGATATCAGTACAAGGGTAAACTATAGTTCTGAGAGTATGCCCATGGTCTGTGAAGATGATCTTCTAGCTGATGTACAACCAGATATTCCCAACTTTCCAGAAAACTTCACAGAAACGCCTAGGTCTTAAAGAATCATCTAGATATATCTGAACACTGTCCTCATTGTTAAATTCTCTCTTGATGTTATTAAAATGCTCATCTCATCACCAATATTATACTCAGTATGAGAGCACATTATATAATCACCGCACCACCGCTTACATAATTTATTACCCGAAGTCAAATTTTTATAATGAACATGAGTTTTGATTGAATGGAACTTTACTAAATTTGAGTTCTTTTGATACAACATCGTTTTTATATCATAAAAAGAGATATCTAATAGATCATAGATAATAAAGATGACTACAGTACCAAACTCTATCAAACTTTTAGCTGGTAATTCACATCCTGAATTAGCTGAAAAGATTTCAAAAAAGTAAGATTAATCACAGATACCACATGTTTATACATGATTTTTTGAGATAAATAAACATAAAACTAACTTTTTGGAATAGATTAGGATTACCATTAAGTAAAATCGGTGTTTATCAATACTCAAATCAAGAAACTTCAGTGACTATTGGTGAGTCAGTTAGAGATGAAGATGTTTATATCATTCAAACAGGTTGTGGAGAAGATGAAGTTAATGATTTCTTGATGGAATTACTTATAATGATTAATGCTTGTAAAACAGCTTCAGCTCGTCGTATTACCGCTGTGATACCAAATTTCCCATACGCTAGACAAGATAAAAAGGATAAATCTCGTGCTCCAATAACGGCTAAATTAATTGCAAATTTATTACAAACTGCAGGTTGTCATCATGTTATCACAATGGATTTACATGCTTCACAAATTCAAGGTTTCTTTCGTATACCTGTTGATAATCTTTATGCTGAACCAAGTGTTTTAAGATATATTAAAGAACAATTTGATGTTAAGAATTCTATATTAGTCTCTCCAGATGCTGGTGGTGCTAAAAGAGTTGCATCAATTGCAGATAAATTAGATTTACAATTTGCTTTAATTCATAAAGAACGTCAAAAAGCTAATGAAATTAGTCGTATGGTTCTTGTGGGTGATGTTAAAGATAAAATCTGTATTTTGATTGATGATATGGCTGATACTTGTGGTACATTAGTTAAAGCCGCTGATACATTATTACAAAATAATGCAAAAGAAGTTATTTCAATTGTTACTCATGGTATTTTCAGTGGTGATGCAGAAAAAAAATTAGCAAATTCTAAAATTTCAAGAATTGTTTGTACAAATACTGTTCCAATTAATATTGAAAATGAAAGATTAGATCAAATTGATATAAGTCCAACTTTAGCTGAAGCTATTCGTCGTTTACATAATGGTGAAAGTATTTCATATTTATTCAGTAACGCACCACCAGTATGAAAACTAGTATCAGGTTTTATATAGATCCACTATTATAACGTTTTTAAAACAAATACACATAATTTTAATCAGATTTAGAATACTCATTAGTCCAATATTGACGAACAGTTTTGTGCTCATTACCTAATTTACTAATTTGAGAAACTTCATCATTAGTTAATTCAAAATCAAAAATTTGTGAAGCTTTAGTAATTCTTTCAGTCTTTGATGACGTTGTAACTGGTAAAACACCAGTTTGATAAACCCATCTTAATAAAACTTGACCTTGATCTTTACCATATTTCTTAGCTAATGATTCAACAACTTCATAAAATTCACTAGTTTCACCATTTCTTGTACTTAATGGAGCTAAAGGAGAATAAGCTTCTAATAAGATGTTATTTTCTTTAGCAAATTGATAAATACCAGGGGTTTGATTTTGTAAAAATGCATTATATTCAATTTGATTAACTTGTGGTTTAATTTCAGCAATTTCTAAAATTTGTTTTAAATCATCAACAGCAAAATTTGAAACACCAATGTTTTTAGCCTTACCTTCTTTATATAATTGTTCAGCATATTTCCAAGCTTGTTTGATATCAAATTCCTTTCCAGCATAGAATGGATCATGGATCAAATATAAATCAACATATTCAATATCAAGAGTTTTCAAAGTTTCATTAAGATGATCAACAGGTGTAGCAGCAAATTTTGAATATTTATCAGTGATCCAAATTTCATCTCTTGGTTTATCAGTTTCTTTTAAAGCTTTGGCTAACTCATTATATCTTTGGTAATTTTCAGCAGCATCAATATGAATTTTACCTGGTAAGGATAAAGCATGTTTCAATTGAGTAACTAAAGCTTCATGAATCTTTGGATCTTTTGTACCATTGAACCATTGAGTACCAATCCCAATGATGGAGATGGCTGGGATTTTGTTACCGTTTGCTAAAGTGAAGAAAGTGGACATGTCTGTATCTGTTAATTGATATGTAATGATCAATTGTTAGTGGTTATATATAAAGACGTGTGTAAAGTTTAGATGGATTTTGAAGGAATCTTTAACGGTTAAATACATAATAGAATTTCTAGAAATGACTAATCATTAGTACCACAGTTCATCATTTTTTGCAGATATTCAAAAACGAATTAGTAATATAATTGCAAATTGAAAGGCTATATACTAACTGGTTCAATGTAGCTTATTCTTCTTGAAAAATAGACAATAAGCTATTGATTTATCAAATTGTAGGATTGTGTCTTCCTGTTGTGGCTCTTTCTTAGTGATAATTATGTGTCTAATCTTCAGCCTAGGTTTTAAGATTTCTAGACGGAGATAAAAACAGTCTAGGCAGGAAAGCTGCCTAAGAATTTAGGCTGAGACATATAAACTACGCGTATTAAAACTTCATAAACTCATATATTTTCATTTCAATTCATAAGCAATCATTTACATATATATTATTAATCAAATCATAAAGCAAAAACAATCAAATTTATCATAGCTTCAATTCATCACGAGCCCAACCTTCAGGGTGTTTAGTCTTTAAAGAATATTCATCAGGTTGATCTTCTAATGGAACTCCATCAATTTTTAAAGCAAATGGATTTCTATCTTTTCTTTGTTTTAAATTAGCTAAAGTATGATTAACTTCTCTATGTTTTGATTCATCAGCTCTAACTCTCAAGACTAAATCTCTAAATGTTGAATTTTCATCAAGTGAAGTCCAATAAACCCATGCAATTTCTGGTAATTTAACATTATCAAATCTTGGTAATCTTTTAGCATCTAAATCTTTAATTAAATGAGTATAAGTGCTAACAGCTTCTTCTTCAAGATAACCAACAAATCTATGACAATATCTTGGTCTTATTAAATAAATCAAAAAGAATAAATTACAGAAAACACCTTGACCAACATAAATAATTAATCTTGTAAACCATGAAGGATTACCCAACTTCATGAATGTCAATAAATGCATTCTTTCATTATAAGCTTCATCTAATAAAGTTTCAATCCATGCCTTATCCCTTTTTAACAATCTAATGGAATGTAAATGACGAACAAAAGCTGCAACCATACCAGGAACACCTGCAATACTTTCTAAAAAGATAACTCTTGTTAACCATTTTTCTTCAGTCATTTCATATCTTGTACCTTCCCAAGTTTGTAATTTACCATTAACATCTTTTGGTTTTTTATAACCTGTAACAAAATCAAACATATATCTGCAAAATCTCATACCACCATTTGCAATCTTATCACCAACAGTTATTGGTTTTCTATGAACATAATGAACTTTTTCACAATCTTCACCTGTAAATTTTGGATGTGGGAAAGTTGGATGAGATATATACCCATCATCATTTGGATTTGGTGGTGGATTAACAACAAGTTTTGTACTTATATCTAATTTATTCTTTTGTTTAGGAACTGAAGCTGGTTGATTTGGGAAAATAACACTTGGTCTAGGTTTTGATGTTGATATTGATCTTGTAAAACATCTTAATCCTACCAAGGCAGGATTATAATTTGAACGTAACTCTAACTTTAACATTATTGTAGTTGTAGTTTGTATGAGTATAATGAATGTGACTAATAATCGAAACCACTATTATATTTCAACCTTTATATATAAGATTTTCCAAGACAATCATGTAACATGTATAACCACCCTATGAGAACAATAAGCAAATTGTATTCCGAATCAGTCCTATAAACTGTGATTAACTTATTTCAGGTTAAATGCCTTGGATAATTATAACCTTAAATCACCCGAGCTGATAATTAAAAGATTCATCTTATGAGATTTTTCATTTGTGCTCACGGGTTAATTATTGCTATCTTTTGTACCATCGCAATGAACCTGATATCAACAATATTGAGAACTCAGTAATAACAAACAAACAAATCTATTCAGCCATGAAAACACCATCTGGTATCCAAAAGGGCATTAGTGGCTAGGATAAAACAGGAATGAATAACTATGCAAAATGGCCTTTGACTTGTAATTATCCCACGTATATGTGCTCTATGTAATCAAAACAAAACTTTATGTGTCAAATCTAAAAGGTCATCGCTTTTGCTGGCCAATAGAAATTGTGCAAAATGAAAGCCCGCCCGCTTATATAACACATTACGCACTACTTGATCAATTAAAAGTCGTTTAAAACGGATATTTCAAAGGTTTCAGGCTTCAGCCATATCCCATATTTATAGGTCAGCTTTCTTTTGATCTCTTACAGGCTGTGAACGGCTAAACTCTTGATAGTATTGTAGTCTTAACATGATTCAAATATTGAATATACTGAAAGAATTAATATACACTGTATTACATAAGCGCGAATAGTGTACGCCAAATTCCGATATCCTTTATACACAAATTATCCTATTGGAATTTAATATTGTGAGTGCACATAATGTCAATTCAATGATTATATTTTCATGGCCGGTAGCCGTTGGAGGTTTCTGACGTTGTTGTTGTAGCGTTTAATTAGACTATACTAATTAATAACTACGGCCGTTTATTCGCGTACATAGTACGTAGTACGTATTTTAAATATATACTGCGTGACGTTGGTTGAAAAGTACAATATAGAATTATTATACTGGGACCAAGATATTCTAGTTCTATCATAATATCGAAGATTCCCTGTTGGTTGAATTGGCGTGCTTTATAGATTTCTTCACATGGGTGGCCTTGATTTTTAAATTTGCATTATATGATCCAGCTAGTAATATTAATTAGTCACCTTTATGACTCAACTTATATATATCTTGAGCCATATACTTAAACACTACAATCACCTTCTTCAGAATAACAACTATCTTAATCAATTCAATAATCATCTCATTCCACAATAATGTCTAAGCCTTTCAAACAAGTTGACGTTTTTACAAAGACCAAATTTAAAGGAAATCCAGTTGCAGTCTTCTTCCAAGCTGATGATCTTTCAGATCAACAAATGGCTACAATTGCCAATTGGACAAATTTATCAGAAACTACATTCGTTCAAACCCCAACTGATCCTTCAAAAGCTGATTATAAGTTAAGAATCTTCACACCAAGTTCAGAATTACCATTTGCAGGTCATCCAACTATTGGTTCATGTCATGCATTATTAGAAGCTGGTATTATTAAACCTAATGATCAAGGAATTATTATTCAAGAATGTAAAGCCGGTCTTGTTGAGATTAATGTTAAACAAGATGGTAAAATAAGTTTCAAATTACCATATGCTAAACATAGTGAGTTTACAGAAACTAATGAAATCTTGAAAGAATTAGGTATTTCATCAAATCAAGTCAAAAGAACAAATTTAGTTGATGATGGTCCATTATGGTTAACTTTTGAATTAAATTCAGCACAAGATGTCCTTGATCTTACTCCAAACTTTTCTGGAATTGCTCAAGTACTAAATGCTTCCGGTAATGGATCCATTGGTATTGATGTGTTCGGTAAATATCATGATAAAGAAAGTCTTACTTATGAGGCTAGAAATTTTGCACCAAATGATGGGGTTGATGAAGATCCTGTTTGTGGTTCAGGATTAAGGTGCTATTGGTTCTATTTTAGCTTATCAAGATAATTATATAGGGGAATTTCTTGTTAAACAAGGTTGTAAATTAGGTAGAGATGGTGAATTGACCGTTACAACAAAGAAAAACTCTGATACAACTACAGGGTATGATATATTTGTTGGTGGGTATGCAAAAACGTGTATAAATGGAACTTATTGATCTTAGTAATGCTTTCTATGAATTATTATTACTATTTTTTCTAAATCCAAAATTAACGCTCATTCTATTCTTCTTTTTTTCCTTTTCTTCAACAGGATTAACTTTATTAGGATCTTTTTCTCTTCTTTTCCAAAATGAACTTGTTGACCCTGAACTAGTTGGTGGTTGTGGTGGTTGTTCAGTGACTGGTGAATTTGGTTGTAATGTAGATACATTGGATATTTGTGGTATAGATGAACTTGAAGCTGTTGGTTGAGGTTGTAATGGTGGAGTTGCAGTTGTAGCACTTGTATTTGAAGTTATATTTGATGATGATGAAGATGAAGTGGTATTAGTTTGACTATTTACAGTCATTTGTGATGATTTTGGTTTGAGACGTGCAATACTTGATAAACTTGGTGTTCTAAATCTTGATTTTTCAGCTTGTGGAGGTTCAAGAACTGTTGGTGGTGGTCTAACTGGTGGTTTATTGTTATTATTAAGATTATCTGAAGATACTGTAGATGGTTGACTTGAATTTATAGAAGTATTATTTGAATCAACTCTAATGATCTTCTCTTCAATACCACCATCTTTTTCTAAACTTGTTGGAACTTCTTCTTTGACTGTTGAGCCATTAATATTTGAATCATACTGTTCTTCAGAAATTTCTTGATAAAATAAAACATAAGCTGTAGCTAAATCTGGTGAATCACCTGTAAATTTCAATACAAAACTTTCATCAATCTTTTCCACGGTTTCATCATCAAATAATAACCAACCATGTTGAATTGTCTTAACTAATGCAACATAATGACCATGATGAGGCCCTCCACCTATATGAACCACAACCCCATATAATTGATAAAATTTTAATCCATCTTCAGGCTTTTCAGCTGGAATATCACTTTCTAATTTTAAATATAATGGATATTTAATTTTTTGGAATAATTTGACATTTCTTTGATGTTCTTCACTATATTTAAATCTTTTAAGATGTAATGCTAAAATTTTTGGTAATTTTCTAAGACCCATTTTCTTTTCAGCTTCTTGTAATGAATGACAATTATCACAATAAAATTTATTACCACCATTCAACATTTCACTTGCACTAAATTGTTTTAAACAAGTTTCTAAAGTTTCATTATCTGTTAAATCTATACTCAAATCCAAAAAAGTTTCATCACGACTTGATACATTTTCACATGTAAGACATTTGGTTTGATTTGTTAATAAACCTTCAAATAATTCATGTAATGCATTTTTTCTAGTGTTATGTATTGTATTAATGGTATCAATAACTTCATTTAACAAAAAATTCAGAAATTCATGAGCATCCTGATGCATAGTACTTCTAAATAGTTCATTTTCTTTCTTTAAAGTTTCAATAAGATAAGAAGGTGAAACAACCCCAGTTTTTGAATCATTTTCAATCATTGATTCAAAAAGATCTTTTAATGATGTAAATAATGAAACTTTCATATCATAATCCACTAAAGAATGATCAACATTCAATATAGGACCTTTAAATAATGCAGCTCTTTTTCTTGCATCTGAGTTAGCATTTGGATCATCAGTTTTACCAACAATGACTTGATTTGAATTTGATTTGATGTTGGGTATAGTTATAGTTTGACCATTGTGTTGTTGCGTTTGTTGTGTTTGTTGTTGAGCTTGTGATTGTTGCTGTGGTGGCTGATTTGGTTGTTTTGTATCATTATTTTGCTCTGATTCATCATCAGTTATACTATCTTTTTTGTTTCTTCCAAAGAAACTTGATGTTCTTCTACCCAGTGATTGTCTAACAGTTTTCCCTTCATTTGAGTTCCCATTATTATTTGAAGGATTTAAATGATGTGCATTAGTGATAGTAATATGTGCTTTATTTCCTGGCATTGAAGATTTCCTTATTCTTGAATTCAAGTCTCTTGAAGTTGGATTTTTCAAAATTTCTAATCTGAAAGCTTTTGTATAGTATAAACATTGAACAATAGAATTACAATAACATGTATAACCAAAATTCTCCATACCAAATACTTTATCAGAACCATCTCCAAATGGGTAATCTGGATGTAATGTAGTTGAAATTGTTCCACCTCCAGTTATACTTGATGATTTATGTTGAATTGAATTATGATGATGATTGATATTTTTTTCATCCTCAAAAATAATAGCTTCATCACGTTCATCTTCTTCAGGGATGTTACCACAATTATGATGTTTTTCCTTGTGACTTGATACTGATGAAGAGCCTGAACCTTGAGCAGATGTTGAATTCTCATCTTTTCCATTGCTTTGGTTTTGTGTATTATTAGCCAGTATGGAATTTGGAGCTATTGTTGTGGAATCTTTATCATTAGTTGATGAATTGCTTCCGCTACTAAGCCACTTCTTTAATGACATCTTTCAGTGTATGGTAAATAGCTTTATAAAGTAAGGGAGAGCTTGAGTCTGGTAATTTGTCTTTTGGAATAAATATGATCTGAACGCGGGTGTGCAAAGGAATGAGCAGCTTGATCCAGCTAAGATGAATAGAATCAATGGTGTAAATAAATAGCAGCACAGTGAGATATCAGCAGAAAAATTAGCACCACCTAGGTTGGATTGATCGTTGATTGTTAAACTTGTGTTTTTTCGTAGAGTTGAAGTACTCGGGGCAAAATTGGTAATCTGCTTTTTTTTTTTCTTTGTATTTCTTCACAGGGGCAAAAAAGCGCCAAACGAGAATTTAAACGGAGTATCAAAATAACCGTGTAATAGCCTTTAAAAGATACTTTTGGTATTCAATTGGCGACTAGAAGTTCTAATTTATTAATTGTATATATAACGGTCTTTTTCCAGGATTTAAATGATCTTGTTTGTGATTTTGTAGAAGGAAATAACTTTTGAGAATTGTTGAGCGTTTTTCTTCTCGAGAAAACCAAAGTGAAGATCAGAATCACAAGAACAAAACGGAGACTATAAGAAGGAAATCCTACTAGACGTTTGTTAAAATAATACAATAAATGTACACTGTGGTTAGTGCTACAAAGGTTAGATAAGTTTTAGTCTTTTCTGTTACTTGGTACGCCAAATTGTTAAAATATACCGTGTGAATCGATCGTGTTCATCACTTGATGCCAACTCTGTTGAACATTGAACCATATAGACTCTAGAGGTATGGACCTGAACAACTGCTTGAGTAAATAGTAAATACGTTTATATATAATAACACCATCCTACAATTCTTCTAGAAGTAAAACAGTTTCACAACGTCCTTGGATTTGCAACGTTCGATCCAAAAAATTAAAACAAATGTGATCCAATTTGTAAATTCTAGTGATCCACCACAATTAAACAATTTCGTACAATTCCGATAAGTACGGGGTGCGTTGGGAATTTTTAGACGATAACTTTGTCGAGTTTCAACTTTCCAATAACAAACAGCACCTGTACACATAGTTATGATGTTAAATTCCACACAACTAAGTCCCAAGAAAGACATAATCACTTGTTAAATAATAACAAGCAGATTAAACTTTTCTCAGTATTCTTTGCAAAGCTTTGACCATGTTCTTGGGATTCTCGAAAACATTCAACGCGGTTGTTCATTTTCCAGATTCTGTGGATATTTTTTAAGAGAATTAAGTTGCCATGGTTACAAGTTATATATTTAATTTAGCGGAAAGTGTACTTATGTGAATATATAAGTTGATAAATGATTAACAATCGAGAAGATCTTGGGGATTAATATAGATCTAGATAGAAAGTTACATGAAGAATTCGGTGTTTGATCATAACTCAGGAGAATTCGTGAGGTTGTTTGGGACGTTTTTCAGCTGCTCATTCGATCTCGTTAAAATTTGAAGTCCACATATCTATGTACATGACATTATAGATTTATGTACAACGTCTCGTTTGGCTAATTTACATTATATTTTGTATCATGTATAGCTTATATTAAGACTTTTTTGGGTATATATTTCAGAGCCAGTTACTCAAGAGCTCATTTTTTAATGTACTCATGGCCAGTATAAATTACAAAGCTCGAAACCTTCCATTTAAACTACTACACAACAGCTATAAAGAACTATCTGTATATTCTTTGACCAACCTCCAAATATGAGTCAGCGGATCATATTCAGCTTTGATCTATCGGTAATACTTAATTAGTTTTCAGTTTTACACTGAGCCATAATATTTGAATGGGGTGCATTTTTAGCCTGGGAGCAACTACCTTGACTTCGTTCCAAATCATCCAACTGATAGACCGTTGGAAGTTGGAACCACTATATTGATAATATTCCAGTAAATTTAATGGAATTTGTAACTATGTAACACAATAGCATCAGAGCGAAGGTTACATTTCTTCAACAGTGTATCAACGCTAACATTAAACCCACCCTAGCTGTGTTCAGGAGATCTAGAACAATCGTATCTAGAAGGCCGTGTATTACAACGCGGCTTATAAATATAAATATATCTATGAAAACTAGCTAGTAAGCTCTTTTCAATATAATTTCTTAGCTCTGTTCTTAACTGTTTCTGCTCACAATCTATTATAAGAACGTAACATCTATAGGAAAGTCATGTATCTAAAGTCGTATTAATCTGTGAGAGCAAATTTCTAGCGATCAACCTACTACAAACAAGCAGGAAATTCAATTCTATATATGTTTTTTTTTTTT